CCCCTGCATCTGTCACTGGAGATGTCTCTTTTGTTGCACCTGAAGAAGTTGAGGACATGGTCCGCACTCAAGTCTATGCCCTCAATGAAGAACTCAAGAAGCAGAATGAGGAGATGTGGAAGAGTAAGGAAGGTGAATGGAAGAAGTGTGCAAAGAAAATGAAGAAGAAGATAGAGAAGAAGGGGGCATCGAGAATGCAAAGGGAGGTCTAGCAGCAGATGAAGCAACAACATATGCAGATGCATGCTTATTTTGAGCTTATGAGAGCAAGCACCTCCACACCTCTTCCTTCTTCTCCACCAGCTCCAGCACCACCGGTTTTCACCTCCATGCATCATTCATCCTCTGACTTCTCGTCTACTGATAGTGATGCTTCTTCGGATGATGATTATACAGATTATTCATGATGAAGACTTATATTTTATTTTTAAATGTATTTATTTGGATATTTTTGTCTTCCTTTGTAATAACATTTAAATTTTAAATTTTATAAATCATTTTTAAATGTTTAGATGCCCAATTTATAGTTGTTATTATGTTTATAAATTATGATAATCCGGAACAGTAAAAAATAACTATCTATATAAACAAAAAGTACTAATAATAGTAAAATATAATACAGACGGATTACAAATGGAAAAACCCGTCTGTAACTTATAGACAGATTTTTTCGTCTGTAATTTACAAACGGATTTCACAATCCGTCTGTAATTTCTTACCGACGACGATATCACAAACGGTTTATGTCTGTCTCTAAATCTGTCTGTAATTTCAAAAACCATTTGTAATGGTTTAAAAATTCGTCTGTATATACAGACTTTTTAGTAGTGAAGAAACCACGTTTTTCACTGTCAATATGTTATCTAATTAAAAATTTCCAGAGCATTATCAATAATCTTATGATTAGCGTATGCATTAACCATACAAGTCCAAGAAACAATATTTTTATCATGCATTCGATCAAAATACTTTTAGGATATTGCAAATGCCCACACTTGGCATACATATCTATGAGGGCATTCATCACGATCTAATTAATTTCAATCCCAATAACACTGGAAAGAAGAATCCTAATAGTGGAAGAATTAGAGCCGCACAATCTATAATATATACTAAAATGTTTTGGCAATTAGGGCACCTTTTAAATTTTTTGGAATACGTCGTTTCTGTCAACTAAGTTTCTAACATGACACCTAACGTGACAATTTAACATTTTGTTACTATTTATTAACAATGTCTGAGATTAAGAACTAAAAACAGCGACAAAGCTGAAAGTTATGGACTAACTTGACATTTTAAATATCTTAGAGACTAAAATACCAAACACTAACTATTTCAATGACTAAAATGAGAGTTTAGTCTAAAATATTATACTATAAAGATATTAAACAGATAAGCCTCACATTACTTTCTAAAATATGAAACATAATTAGAGTCAATTTTCTAAATTTAAAATTTAAAATTTTAATCCATAAAATTCACATTATGATTTTTCATGTTAAGTGATACATGAAAAAATAAATAGAATAACGTTATTTTATAATTTTTAAAAAATAATTTATTTTTATACTTGACTTTTGAGATTTTCAAAATCACCTATTTATCATCATAATCGCTTCATTTGACTAAAATAGTGTTGACTCTCCTTCTCTTTTATCGCAGGTCTCGCACCACAAGTTACTTTGTCATTGTCAAAGTTTTTTCACCTTATCTCTTGCCTTCAACTATTGCGAGCTACTCTCTTGTTGTTGACGTGACTATCATTTGGCCAAAATATCGTTAACCCTCTTCCTCCTTCACCTCACAATGAGTCAGTTTGCCATAGTCGATGTTTTCTCTATCATCTCCTCTACCTCCAAACAGGGCCGTTCTTGACCTTTTTGAAACCCTAGGCAAAATAGAAAATTAGGGCCCTTTAAAAAAATTATAAAATGTAATAAACAAAATAAAAGTATATATTAATAATTTTATTAAAATAATACTTTTTCTTAAGTAGCTATAATTTTTTCTAATAAAATTATAAAAAGATATTCTTTTATTCAACCAACTCTTATGTTATAATTAACTACAAAAACACAGAAGATCATAAAAAATGAGTTCTACAAGCATTTTGAGATGCAAAATCATCAATGATAACATTAACATTAATGTTTTTTAAAAATTCTTTATCTATTGATAAAATTGTGAGACCATTCAATGGTTCTTATAACATTAATGACCTTAGGTGTTTTGATTAACTTTAACTTTAAAAAACTTCTTTCAATTGATGATATAGTCACCGAAACCGTAAAAAAAAATCTATAATTGATTAAAATATTTAAAGAACAATTTGCAAATTTGACAAACTTAATAACTATTTAATTTTTTGGAGAAAACTAAAATTCTCCATGAGATTTAATGTTAAAAATAGTAAAATTTTGGAATTAAATAAAGTTTTGAGTCTACAGAGATCAATGAGTCGACTACGTTTATAGCAAATGAGATGTAAGAAATTAAAAAGTTTTTTTTTGTTTTTCTATTTTTTTCAACTGCAAACTGTAATAGCTGAAATTTTTTTCAAGTAAAAGTAGGACACAATTTTAACTTTGGACCCTAGGCGATCGCACCTCTAAACTGCCCTCAAAACCGAGCCTGCCTCCAAACAGCACGAACTATCTCTTGTCATTGATATTGCTGTGATTTGACTAAAATATTGTTGACTTTCTTCCTCTCTAACTCCAAGCATTTGGTTTGATAGAGTTGTTGGGAGGGGGTCAACATCGTTGAGTCAAAGAAGAAGAAGTCGTGGAAGAAAATAATGCAAAAAAAGGAAAGAAAAGGAAATGGTATTATTGCACAAAAATCTCAAAAAGTTAAGCAAAATAAACCATTTTAAACAAATTCTAAGACATATCATTTTAAACAATACATTATAATCATTCCATATTATTATTTTTATTTTATTTTTCTATAAATGATTTAATCAAAATAAAATTATTTTCTTATCAATAATTGTATTTATTAAAATAATTATTTCTACCTTGTGTATTGAAATTAAAGTGCCATGTCATTAACCTTACTTTGAACAACTAATTTTTCTTTAATTAGATTTATGTACATGACCACTCTAATAACATATATTTATAAAATAAATAAATTTTAAAAACTAATACATAAATTAAATAAAAATTATATAACATTATTTTTACAACAATTTTTTAAAATTTCAAAATTTACAAAGTAAAAAGTATGATAAAAGTTTATGCTATCATTATAGTATAGTTATAGTTGTGACATATAGAATTCAATATAAAATAACTTTTTCGACCACAATAAATTTGTCTATGTTCTTTTACATCAAAATTTTTTTATAGAATATATTTTGCTTCCTTTAACTCTTAAATATATGAAAATATTTTTTTCTATAAAAGCATAAATGTAATTGCTTTAAAAGAAGAAAAAACTTAATCAACTAAAAAATAAAAAATAAATAAATCAAAAATTAATTAATATATAATAACATATAAAAGACAATATAATTAGGATGTGTTAAAATAATAAAATTTTAAAAATACAAATATATATTAACCTTTCTATTAATTAGCACCATATTGATACTAATTAATTTTTTTACTTCAATATATATCTAAATAATTCTTATTGAAACAATTAAAATATTCTTCATTTTATATTGAGTAAAATTAATTTTATTACAGTTTTATATTAAATATTTTAAATGTGTATAAATTAGTTTAAATCATATATTTTTATTTAAATAAAATAAATTAAAAAATAATATTATTTTTAATAACATTCTCTTATAAATAAAAAAAATATTTAAAATAATTATTTTGTTCTTTTCATGTTTATTTTATATACATAATGATTATATGTTATAGTTAAATAATTCACTTTCTTTCAAAAACACTGTATCATAGTTTATTTTATTATTTCATTTACGTGTATTGATAACATAACTATCTTATAAGTCAGTATATAAATTTACTAATTTTTTACATTTTTCATATATGATACTATATTTTTCAATAAAAAAATTCGTATCTCTTTAACATACTAAATTACTTATCGTTAATAATAAAAATATTTACACTTTTAAAGATTAAATTTATTAACTTTTTAAAAGTACAATATACCTCTAATTTTAAAATAAATTAATTTAATAATATTCATATAATATACGTATTAAAATTGCTTTTATATTCACATAACACCACCGCATTATAGATTATTTTGTTAAATATTTTTTTTAACTTTTATGGTGAGTGTATATATGATAATTTATTTTTAAACCAAGAATCTTATCTCTTTAATATAGTAAATTATTTAATGTTAACAATAAAAGTACTTACTTTTTTAAATATAAAACTTGTTAAATTTTAAAATATGCAACAAAATTTATTTTTTAAAATTATTTTAATTTAATAATATTCATTTAATACCCATGCTAGAAATACTTTTGACAGCTCTTTTTAAAATATAATACAAATAAATAATAGACTAAAGAAAATAAAAAATAAAAATATAAACATGTTGTTTTTAATGTTCATTTTATGTACATATTGATTATATGTTATAGTTTATTCATATACACCAAACATAACTTTATCATAATTATGTTATAAAAAAAATTATTATAATTTATGTTATTATATACTGCAAACATACATTTGTTGTATATAAGATGGGTAAAGTTATTAGGTTAAAATTAGTAAATTGCCAAATACAAAAGTAAATCATAGGTTTTTATTAATTAAAACACCTATGCATTAAAAATTACAAAATTTAATTCTCAAACGATTAAACAAACAAGTCGTTAATTCAGATGTTAACTTAGACAAGATTGCTTCTCCTAGAAGATATCTACAAAAAAAAAAAAGTTAATTTTAATTTTAATTAAATTTTCAATTTGCTAAACATGATTTTATTAGTTTTAATTAAATTAACTACATATTAAAAGCGCGACCAGGTAGAATAAAGTTTTATTAGTGTTAGTAAGTCAAAGAGAATTAGTTGGCTTCACCAACTATTGTAGCTTTGAAAGTATAGACTTGGTATGGATGAAAGCATTTATGAAATATCATCCCAATTGTTTTCGATGACAAGGACAGGGCGGGACGCACCGCATTGTCGAAGCTCCACACTTCCCAACAAATAAAAACGGTTACTGCGATTTAGTTAAGTTCATCGCTCACATCACATTAACACCATCGCTCAGACCTCACCTCAACATTAACGACATCACTCGGAGCCTTTATTTATTAGGTTTGCGTGCCTCAATTCCACTTCCAACTTTGATTTTTGCTTTTGCATGTTCTTCTCTGCGAATTGCTTGCTGCTTCGATTCCAATTTGTTTGTTTTTTTTTCGTTTTTCGGTGCTGGATTCAATTAGGTAGGTGAAAGGAAAGCTCGTTGGTGTTAATCGATCTCTAAAGATGGGGAAGAAGCGAGTAATGGTGCCGGCAAAGGATGTTGACTTGTCATGTGTCAAATATGAGCCTCAAGTTGTGCAAGGTAATCTATCTGTTTGCTTCTTGCAATCAAGCTTCCTGATTTTCCTGTTTCTAATAATAACATTTGATTTGATTTTTTATTCTCTTTTATTTATTTGTTTAACTTTTGCAGCTCCACATTTGGCTGGCTTCATGTTTAGATTATTTGTGAGGATACTTGAAACTCCGGTGATAGGTCCTACTCTTATAAATTACTTGAAGAAGGACAACAAATTTGATGAGGTGTGTGTATGCATGGTTCTCTTTTTGCATGAAATTAGTGATGAATGTCTTGCATGTCATGATTAAAGGTTGTTTTCTTTGTGATGTTATGATTTATGAATACTTGAGTTGTGTGCATGTGCATGCAGTAACATTGTGAATTGACTAAATGTTGTAGGCTGTTTTTGATTTTTTGTTTATTATTATGATTATGAACAGATATTGCGGCAGACTGCAATACCTGAGGAGCCCATGTTTAAACCTGAATATCCACCACAAGGTTGTTCCTTCTCAACGGTAGTCTGAATTGCTGCTGCATGTCAGTTTGCAGCCTTAATGTATTTATATATTTGAATTGCAAGTTTTATTATATCTTGAATTTACCTAGATTTGAAGTTTTATTGCTAGTGATTGTTTGGGATAATTAGAATGGGACAGGAGGAACAAATCTTTGTAGAGATAATAGAAACTAGTGACTGTATCAAATCATATGCATTGCATTTGTAGAAGTATACTTATTATATAACCCACCTTGATGTCTGTGACATTAAGTTTAGAAATGGAGTCTGGTGTTGTTGTCCTTGATGAAGATGAGAGACCTGAAGGTCGACTTGAGTCTGCATTGAAGTGTCTTCCACATTATGATCCTGCCGGATTATGGGAAAATTTGTCTGCATCCTTTCGGTACTGGAAAATACGTGACTATGCTTATGCTTATCGATCTAGAAAAGTAACCCCATCTATGGTATGTAGCTTTAGTTAATAGCAACTCTGAGTACAGAATTGACTTTATTCAAATTAAATTGTAAAATGAAATGATTTCACGCTGAATATGTAGGTTGCTGAGCGCATCATATCAATTATAGAAGCCAATGGAAGAAATAAACCTCCAACACCACTATTGATATCTTTTGATGCTGCAGAAGTCCGAGAGCAGGCAGCAGCATCTACTGAGAGGTTTGAAGCAGGTAATCCTGTATGATTCAAATACTTAGATAGATGTTACAGTCTAAATTTTCATACATGTTTATATTTAGATACAACAGACATGGATGATTGTTCAACTTACACTCCAGGACTTTGATCATGTAGGAAACCCGTTCTCGATATTGGATGGAATTTTCATGGCCATCAAAGATGATATAGATTGCTATCCTCATCCATCCAAGGGTAAGTAAATATCTTACTTTGTATGAATAAATAAAAAGAAAAAAATTGAATTATATGTTTTGGTGATGACAGGTGGATCTGCTTGGATGCACGAGGTACGCACGGTAAAGAAGGATGCAGTCTGTGTTTCAAAACTGCGTAGCTGTGGTGTCATATTCATAGGGAAAGCAAATATGCATGAGTTTGGAATGGGTACAACAGGGAATAATTCTAATTATGGGTAAGCTTATTTATATATTATTATTCAAATGTTTATGTCATTATCAACATAAAAAGAAAAAAGAAAGTAAGAAAACTGTTGGGATGGAGAAACAGTAAAGATGATCTCTGCTTACTTTACTTGATATATTTAAGTTTTAAATGTGTCCCACTCATCCTCCTTCCAAAGTAGGAGACAAAAGTAATCAAGTAAAAATGTTAACCAACTGTTTTCTTATCTTCATTCCCTATTTATTCACTTTGTTTTGTTTTTTCTCTTGTTGATCACAAGCTTAAGAACTATTATTGAAAGGTACAAAATGTTATATGGTAACGTGATAGACACCCTCTCATAACTAGGGTTTATTACAAAACAAAATGAAAAGTAGCAGGGGATTGCACACTCGTGTACAATGAGGAGAGCATGAATTAGGAAATCTGCCAAAGTGGCAGCTGGGGGCAGGGAAGAGAATCTGTTAGAGTAACAAGATACAAGGAAAGAAGGGAGTGAGGAAGGGGAAAACAAGAATTGAGTGTCAGATTAGATGTGAGGTTACAGTTCTCTCAAAAGAACTATGTTGTCTTTTCTTCTTTGTTTTCTGTTATTTCTTTGTCAGTTCTATGTAATTCTGGATTTGAATCACAGTTTCTGTATTTGAGAAGACTTTTCTATTACAAAGACAAATGTCAAAAGTCTTTAGGAAATTAAAAGAAAATTTTCTAAACCATTTAATTTCTGTGTATCTAATATAACCTCAAACACCATTTTGGTTTTCTCATAATTCTCCTATGTTCTTCATAAAAAATACCTATGTTTGATTATTCTGAATTTTCTTGAGTTGCAGAACTACAAGAAATCCTCATGCTCCTGATAGGTACACTGGTGGATCTTCTTCAGGTCCAGCTGCAATTGTTGCTTCTGGAATATGTTCTGCCGCACTAGGAACTGATGGTGGAGGTTGTGCAAATCTAATGCATTAAACCAATTGTTTGGCTTTATTTTTTCTACATGCTTATTTTTTGAAAATTCTGGAGAAATGCAGGTTCAGTCCGTATTCCTTCTTCCCTTTGTGGTGTGGTGGGACTGAAGTCAAATTATGGCCGGACAAGCATGGAGGGGTAATTTCTCACACTATGTGATGGATCAGTCATTTGCCAGCTCTTTATATGTACTATTTGCTCAATTGCTGCACAAGAAAGTTATTTTTACTACATTGTGGGAGCGATTATATTTTGTGATCCTATTCTACATTATTTGGGGTTAGGATTGCCCGTTTTCTATTATGACTATGAAATGAAATTACTGAATTTTTTGGTCAGCGTTATTGCTTGAGTACTTAACAATCATATCAAAGACATGAATCTGGGAAGATTGGTAAAGGAAGACAAAGTCTGCAGTTGAAAACTAGTTGACAAGATCTTGAAGAGACTCCTTCAGTGCCTAATTTAAGAAAGCTTCTTGCATTAGACTTTAATTCAAATATGTCATAACTACGAGGCCAGAAATCATTAATTAAAGTTCTTAGGATAAAAACGCCTTTTTTTTTTCATCATTAAGGATATAATTCAACGTACCATTACATGGTATTGGTAGGAAAGTAGGTTACTTTATCAGTTTATCTAAAAGATTAAAATTTAAGTGATTGACCGCTTCCAGTTATTTTAGCTCAGTAGATAATACTCCTTTTTTATAGGGTGAATAGGCTGGTCTTTTGAGTGGTGAAGGAACTTTATTAACTTCTTGTTTGAATTTATTTTCCTTTTTATGGCGATGCTTCCTTTTATTGGTTGGCTGTATAAATTATAATGGATCACGGTTCTTGAGTTTCTTTGAGTTTTGTTTCACATTCTGGACTTTAGTCTAAGGCATTGGTGGAGAATAGTTATTGGGAGTTATGCAACTGTGCGACATTTTTATCTTGTAATAACCTGCATGTTCTTGTTGGACTCAAAAAAATAATCTATAAAATCATGTGATCAGATCATTTAGACATGCGTTTATTGTTCAGTAAATTTCAAAGCGCAATATGTCTGAATAGCACTTGTATGAAGTCTCCAAGAAATTTGACAAACCAGAGTTTGTAATATTCATTGTTTAAATTGTTATAATTAAAAAGGATATAGTTGCATTAGAAGACAATAAAAATGCTACCCTAACACAATTTATTATATATGGAACACAAACACATTATTATTATTTTTTATTTACAGGTCATTATGTGATTCTGGAACAGTGGAAATTATTGGACCAATTGCTTCATCAGTGGAAGATGTCATGCTAGTGTATGCAATCTTCTCTTCTTTTCATTCATGCTTTCTTTTTTACAGACTCTTCTATTTTACTTGACTGCTCTCTATTTTGCATGACTCGGAAGACAAACCATTTTCATCATTTCTCCATTAATAGGAAGTTTTTTTTTAAGATTTTACTGACCATTTTTTTTTCCAGTTCTGTATTTTAGCCCACTTCTACTTTTCATTGTCTCAGAATTGCTCCTACTTCTATTATTTTACATGCTAAAAGATTGGCCAAGTGTCTTAAAAGCTTATCATTGTTAGATAAATTAGCATGATTTTTTGGGTTCAAATTTCTGACTTTGAAGAACATGTTTATGTATGTCAAAGTTTTATCAGGGATTTTCAGTAAAAGTGTTTATTTGGTAAATTACTTATTAGAATCTAATAGACAGTTACAATCAACATAAATTAACACTCTAAATGCAGTAATGAAAACTAAACTGGTTAACTGCTTGAATTCTTATACAATGCCTAAGGTAAACAGTAACATCCTTGCTATTATCTTTATGGTTTAACCCCACTCTTTTGTATAACACTTTGTTGTAACTTTTCAAAATTACTCTACTTGGGCAGAAAATTTCAATGACTGACCATTGCCATCATTATAATTGCTCATGAGTGATAAGCACTGCTGTTCCAGATACAGCTAGTGCATTGAAGGTTTTTCTATAACGTTACTGACTTCTGCTTGCTACATATATTTTCTTTAATGGTTGACTCAAGTAAGAGCTTCCTAATTTCAATACTTTTTACTTGCTCATCAATTGAATATATACGTGACTTCAAGAGTACATGTGCAGTTGTAGTTGTTTGGTTTAGCAATTCAATTGTAAAGTATAAAACTAGATTAATATGGCTCAGCTTCTTGAAGATATATGACAGTTCTTTTTGGTCCTAATATTTCAGGTATGCGGCAATGTTGGGTGCATCACCTGCGAATAGAATCAGTTTGAAACCGGTAATCCTTTTCTATCTTTTGTTTGTATGTGCGTGCTTCTTCTTTTTTTTTGTGGGGGGGGGGGGGGGGGGGGGAGGGGGTGGAGGGATACAGAAACTGTTAATCTTTAATCCCACAGTTGAAATTCTTAGTAATAAGATATCGCCCCTAAAGCTAGCTCAAGGTAGAAGATTGCCCAAGGTTTTTAAAGACTACGTTGGCCACATTCCTAGTCAATTTCCATGTGGGGCATCTTAATGCACCCTCTTGGTTTCCAAAACATGATATTTGAAGTGTGAAGTTTACAGGATTGGACTTCTACAAGTGGCCCAATATCAAGATTGTAATAACTCTATTACCATATTAGAAATGAATCAGGCTTAACTCCCAAAAACCAGTTCAAGGAAGGATTGTCCAAGTCTTGTAAGGACTACTTCGGTCATATTCCTAATTCATGTAGAACATCTTAAGTCTTAACAACTACCATATCATCAAAATAAAATTAGGAGGCAGGAAGAAAAGTAGATAACATTTTCACATTCACATATCTATGATTGAGCTTATTAGGGATTTATGTCATGATTAAGCTCTTGGGTTTTCTTAGAATGTTCATTTGCTAAGAGTCTTGTTCAATTTCTAAATCTCTCGTTTGGAGTTCTTTAATACATACTAGTGTTCTATACATTTGTTGCCTTTTATTATGATTACCATTTCATTTAAAACAAAAATATCCATTATAAAATATATTAAGTAACATAGCTTCTACAGAGTCATCTATAATGAATTTTAATGGGACAGTACCAGTATTTGGAAACTCCAATATTGAATAAGTTGAAGAACCACTTCATCAAATAGCTTGCTGCAGCTGTAGACACAAAGTCTGCCCAGAAATGGTTGAGAACTTTCATGTGGAACCAAAGTGCTCATGCTATTTCCATAAATTAGTCTGATCCTTAACTCACCCACCCTATTCTGTTGGGCTCAGCTGCACATGTAGATTGATGAATGATTCCATTGTTAGTCATGCATGGAAAAAACAAATCTCTTATTGTCAATTTTGTAACAAGATGATCAAACTATGTTTTAACTTCAGCTCAAAGGCATTAAATAAAGGCATCCCTTCAGAGTATATTTTCATTAAAGTCAACTAGTTCTTGGAGAAACCTTTATAAAAAATAATCAACAAGAAAAACTATGATTGGACTCTAGAACATGGACATCTGTCATTGAAAAAGACCAACTAGAAGGGGATGTATTCAACCTAGGAAAATAGATTATCGTTGAATATTTGGCAATTCTCAAGCCCAGCCATGGCATAGTAAACCTGTACATTTATGGTGTTCCAACGATCATTTGTACTGCTACTCTGTATAAGTCAAAGGCTCCTTTAGACAACTGATGCAATGCTATGTACGTGCATATGGCAAAGACAAACCACAACTCTTGTTCAACTGTTCTATACCTTATTCTCTGCGTAAAACTTCCGCTATTTTTCTTTAGTAAGTATGGTTACAATGCATATATTTTTTTGTTTCTTGTAGTCACCACCTTGTTTGCCAACTCTGTCGTTCAATGACAATGCAAATGCCTTGGGATCTTTAAGAATAGGAAAGTACACCCCGGTAATCACCCTGTAATTTAAACGTAATTTTTTTTATGTAGTTTGAAATGTTATTTTTTAAAATAATATGTTTGTTTTTGTGTAGTGGTTTAATGATGTTCTTTCAACTGAAGTCTCTGATAAATGTGAGGATGCTGTTAAGAAGCTGTCAAAGGCACATGGTTGTGAAGTAAGTTCATCACATTATCATGTACAGCATGATTGATTTGCCCTTTATATCTAGTTGAGCACGATAGATTCAAAGTGAAAACAAGGCTAAATAGTGTATCTTTCTTTTATATTTGAAGGTGATAGAAATTGTTATACCAGAGCTTGATGAGATGCGAACTGCCCATGTTGTTTCCATTGGCTCTGAATGCTTATGTTCGCTGAATCCTGATTGTGAAGATGGGTATGTTTGAGTATATATCAAAATTTAATGCTGGTAATTTCATTTTGTAGTCTAATTCTTCAAAGGCATTGTTTTCATCTGTTATCCAACAAGGTTAATATTAGATAGTGACTATCTTTGTCTGCCTATTTATATGAGAACTTATGGTGATTTCCTGTATTTTTTTCTTTCTTTAATAGCAAAGGTGTAAGATTGTCATATGATACTCGTACAAGTTTGGCACTTTTTCGATCATTTACAGCAGCAGATTATGTTGCAGCCCAATGTATTAGGTGAGCTGATTTCATAATAAATATACCATAATTACACCCCTTTCAGTGAAAGTATACTTTACTGATGGCCTTGGAAAATTCTATGGTACAATTTTTTAGAAATTATTACTACCGTAGATGATCTAATATGTAAACCATACAAAAAAGATTGTCTGTGTAGCTTCTAAATTTTTTATCTTATATGTTTCAGACGAAGGCTTATGTATTACCACATGGAGATTTTCAAGAACATTGATGTCATAGTGACTCCAACAACTGGGTATGTACAATAGCATGGTAGAATACACCTTAGGCTTTGTTTGGATCTTTAGAAGGAGAGAGAAAGGAAGGGTTTGAAGGGGGAAGGTGGAGAGGGGAAAGGAGGGAGAAGAAAACTTAAACCTCACTTTTGATTGGATGTTTAATACTAAGAGGGAAGGGTGAAAACTTAATCCCACTTTTGATTGGATGTTTAATACTAAGAGGGAAGGGTGATAGAGGTTTAATCATACAAATAATATTATTGTCTTTGATATCTTTTATTTATATTTTTAAATAAATAAATAATAATTTTTTTCTCTCTAAAAATTAATAATTTTAAAATTAATATTTTTTATATTTAAATCACTCTAAAAATTAACATATTTTGAAAAAAAAAACAAATTCCTAATCATGAAAGAGTAGGAGAGAGTGAGAGATAAAACTCTTAAAATGGTGGAACTAAAAAAATTAATGTTGGGAGGGTTTTGGGAAATTTAAAAAAATTATGTAACCCTTCCTCTCCTAGTTAAGTAACTCCCAATTAAGGGTTGAACTCCACTAACTCCTCCCTTTCCCTCCCCTCCTAAACATGATGACATCTAAACATAACCTTAGTGTATCGAACCCTTGAACTGTTGAAAATTCAGTTCAAATAATTTAATGTGGGTTTGTTTTCTTTTATAATTATTTGAAGGATTATAAACTTGTCTTAACAGCCTCGATAACAATATATGTTTTCTGGCATTCAGTAATAGTTTATTAGTATTAAGAGAACCATATTTTCACAATAGCATCAGAAATCTACTTTGCAAATGCTTTCATTGAACCAAGAAAGAAAAAGATCAGCTGCATTTTGTATCTTGTTAGTTCTAATAGCAGCAGCTTTTGTGGGTTATATTTGTGGATAGTTTTGGGGAGGATGGGACTGAATAACAAGTGTCATGGATGTGTAAACGAATTCTTACAAAATTCAACTACATCTTATTTTTGAAGTAAGGTTTTGTTGTTGAGGCTGGAATAATTGATATAGAGGAACTGCAACTGAATTACTTTTGTTTGTATCAGCACGACAGCACCCAAAATACCTCGTAGTGCTCTTAAAAGTGGTGAAACAGATCTGCAGACTACAGGTGATTGGCTTCACCTTTAAGTTGCTTCAGGATATTTTTCTTCCATACTAATTTGCAGTGCATCATTGTAATTAAACATTACATCTTTCCTATTGTTGTTACTCATGCTCTCTGATTACATAAACAGATAAGTGTTAAGTAAATGGATGAAATTTAGATTGTTTACTGTATACTTATCAAGTTCTCAAATAAATATTGATATATGGATGAATTTTTAATATTAAATAGCTTTCATTGAGAATGTCTCAGAACTAAAAAAAATAAGAAAATTCACTGGTCCTTATTTTGATCTTGATAATTAGAATTCAAGGAATTTATCTAATTTTTGTCTACACTAAATTTGACCGTTGATATGAGTTAATGGTCTCTAGATCTTAGGTCAACAAAAGAGGTAAGTAAAAGTTTGTCCCTTGGTGTAGCCGTGAGACTCTAAATCCAGAATGTTTATCATGACTGAAAGCGACATAAAGTTGGTGAGAATTATTTCTACTGAACATTATGATACTCCATTCAAATAAGTCCTAGCCATGCATCGTTGAAACTTTTGGACTGGATATGTATTATGTGACACTGGTATCTTGACTGATTTTACCTTAGTGGAAGTTAGACCATATTATTCGTGACTGATCTAAATAAAACGCCATGCCATGATTACGACAACTCTGCCTATTGTATTTAACTTGCCTCATCATTTGCTAACTTGAAGCTTGTTTCTCAGCTTATCTTATGCGGTTTGTTGTTCCAGCAAATCTTCTGGGATTCCCTGCTATTTCTGTCCCGGTGAGTGAGAGTGAAACTTATCACTCAAGATTGTGTTTTTTATATTTTGTTCTGATGAGCACTTTTAGTTAAATGACCATAATAATGAATAAGCTTCTCAACAACAAGTGCTTATATATAAAAAAAAATAAAAAATCAATGAGGTAAAATGAATCTTACTTCTTTCGTTAAGTTAATTAACTTATGCATCTCAACTTTTAAAAGCTCATTTACATAACTGCTGCATAATTAACTTACGAGGACTGCTTTTTAAGTTAGGAATCAAATATTTATCTCAACTGAACAGTTCTTTTAAGCTAGAAGCTAATCAAATTGGAATGATCTTACACTGTTTATTCCTTTAACTAACATCTATGGTCTATAGGTTGGTTACGATAAAGAAGGGCTTCCAATAGGTTTGCAAATAATGGGTCGACCATGGGCGGAAGCTACTATTCTGCGTGTAGCATCTGAAGTGGAGGTACGTTTATTGTCATACCTGAATGTAAAAAGTGCTAATACCCCTGTTTGACATATATTTTATTTTGTTATTCTATCTATTATTGTTTTACTTTTTGGTAAAATTTCTACCTAATATGTTCAGAAATTCTGCGGTGAGTCAAAGAAAAAGCCCGTGTCATACTATGATGTTCTGAGGGCTAACTGAAGCTAAGATGTTCTTGCTCGTTACGGTTAATAAGCGGTCGAAGCCTTTCCTGTGTTGTTTGGAAATCGCAATCCATTTGGCAAATAATGTATGCTTCATCCTCAAGGCATCTAATTGCTCAAATGGATTTATGATTTGCCAAGATCTTAGGAAATAAATTCTGCAGAGCAGACAATAGTAGTAAGACAATGTTAGCAATACACTCTTCAATATACTCTTTATGATTGATTAGTTTTTAAAAAAATTAAAGCATGTCACATAAGGAGTATGTTAAAAAGTATATTGCTAGCATTTCTTGTAGTAGTGGAAATTTGCACATTTTCAAGATGTAGAAGAGTTTAAGAGCTTTCTTAAGAACTTCAAAAATACAATGTTTACAGTTTTCTTATGTTTTGTTTGGATAAAAGTGAATTAAGAAAAAGTAAATTAAAAAATTAGAAATGATATATTATTTGATAGATAAAAATAAGCAAAAATGATAAATTTTCTTTCATTTGTTTGGATGAAGGAAAAAATTATTTATATCACTTAAAAATTAATTTAAACTTTAAATAAAAAAAATTATATTATTATAAAGAGTATAAAATTATTCATATATTTTTTGTTTTGAAAAATTAATTTTATTATTGTAAATAAATAAATTAAAAAAGAAAAGTCAGCACCTCCCTCCCATTTCACGTCTTAGGGCCGGTAAAATGTTAAGTGTGAACCCTACAATATTTTCATCAGTCCAAACGACTGAAATGTAATGTCCACTTCCCAAATGACTTTCCCTTTATTTTCTTCCTTTCCATTTCAATTAAAAACAAAGTGTTAAAGATTATACCTTTTTAGTTATCCCCTGATCTGTATTTTCATATTTACCACATATTACTGTTCGTGAAGTGATATACTGAGTAATTTATACATACATTGTGTTCAATTTAATCTGCTATTGGTCTTTATTATGATTACGTCACTGTAAATTGCAGTAACCGAGATTCATGCTCCTACAACATAATGAGATACTTTGTTTCAAATATTCCAAATAAAATATTTCTTGCATATATGAAATAAGGAGAATTATCATTTGTGAATTTAAAATAATCATCCTAGATTTCCAGAGAGTCATGATGAAAATATCTACAATACCCTTTTTCTCAGCGTTCTCATGCGCAACATCAGTAGACGTCCATCCCTGGAGGTATCTTGCCTGGAGTATTAGTGGTTGATTACAATCCTGTCACACTAGAAGATAAGGATAAATCGTAAAGCTTAATTATCCTGATTTAGATGAAAGGAGGCTCTTAAAATTGTTTAGATTTTATTCATACCAATCAACAATGACCACGGAACGTAGCTCACAGTTGGCGAAGCTGCAAGGATTCGAAAAACTAGTTAACTATTTCCTACTAAAAAAGTACCGCTGAAAACACACATTGAGTGCATGCAAGACTGAAAACAACGGGAATAGTACTTTTTGAATAGCAAACCAAGCTGGTCTGGAATAAATTGTATTATGCAATCCATGGAGAAATCAAGATATTTTCATTTAAAATAAAATCACGCATCATCAACTCAATTGGCCAAGAGGACATGAATCACAAGTAACTAAACACGAGGCATTGGCGGACTTACAGCTTGGATAAATCTTTCTTCACCAAGGGATGGCTATAATTTCCAAATGCACTTAGAGTATGAAACAAAAATGCTTTGTGTGTCACAATTGCTATCTCCTTCTCTTCTCGTGTCCACAACCTGTGATGAAGCGAAAAATAAAAATAGAGCCTAAAAAATGAACTAAACACGTTTGACGGCAATTTCCAGTTACATAAAAATAACGGAAAGTTACAAGAAAAAAGGAGAAAAAAAGAGTATTTTGTTTTTCTTAACGAAAAATTGCAAAAAGAAAATCACCGATAATCGCTGCATATATGAAATACTATTTGATCGCAATTTCTAATTACCAACATAAAAGTAACGGGGAGTTACAAGAAAAAAGAAAATATTTATTTTGCTTTCCTTAACAGAAGTTGCATAAATCTAATTTTTGGATATCTAAATTAATAAAATAAATACCATTATACCTGTTATAATTTTGGTTCCTACTACATTTTAAAAGTTTAGTTTTTGGTCCTTGTAATTTTAATATTTTAGGTTTTGGTACCTACTACTTACTAGTAATGAAATATGCCAAAACATGCGGCTTGCAAGGTACAACCATTTGGACCAATAATGTATTAGGGGAACCAAAATCTAAACAAAATATAACTATAAGGATCAAGATAAAATAAAAATTATAAGGATCAAAAGCTAAACTTGCAGAACTACATGAATCAAACTTCTAAATGTAAGAACCAAAACCAAAGTTAAGGTAAATTATAAGGAATAAAAATATATTTAAATCTAAGCAATAACATAAAAAGTGCAATCAGCAAGATGTTATCTATTCACTTCTCGCAAACTCAGACAGACATAAATGGAGCGACAGCCCTTAGAGAAGCTTTGCTTACATTCAAGTCTAGTAAGTTAACTATTACAAAACCCTTGACGTGATAAGTACATTAATTTCAAGAAGGTCAAGTTGATCTTATCTTTGTATTACAAAGACCAATCAAAGTAGGAATATATTACGTATTAACTTGGAAAACAATTAAGTCCAACTTTACTATTCTGGTGTATTCCCCAAATTCAATATTCCTGTGGTAGCATTCTTCTTTTTTTTTGTTGGTGCTAGGGAGGGGGTCAGGCCTTCACTAAACCACAACTATATTAATTAATGCAGTACCAGAGAGGTCTTGCTGAGGAAGCAAATTGGGCTTTGATATTTTATCAATATAGTTCACAATATGAAATGATGATTGAACACTGTGGAAAGTGGTTTGATCACATGCAAAAAAAATCTTTGAAGCACTAATAGAGAGTAAATGACATGACTTTTAGTTCATCAAAAAAGAATAAAGGGAGACCTGGAAGAATTTTAGAAAAATTTATTAAAAGAGATATTTTAATTAATATTTCTGAAAATTTGATTTTTGACCGAGTTAAATGGCATAATGTGACCTATTTAGCCGACTTCACTTAGTGGAATGACTTGATTGTTGTTATTATTGTTGTATAGTTCACAATAGGAAAAGGTCAACTTAACTTTCACAAAATGGACGGAGCATCACATGATTCACATCTACAATGCATGAATGTTTAAATACATCGTTCTCACTTGGATTTCAAAGACCAATGATTAAGAAGGTAATGCTTAGCCATTATAGATCTAAGAATTGAATGTGTCCTCTAATGGATCTCAAGGGGCTAAACATTTTGAGTCTTTACTTTTAATTACAAAAATGCCACATTGTTTTTATTCTATTTCATATTTTCAAATATTTACATAAGAAACAGAGAAAACATTAAAAGCTTATTTTTACTGTTTTCTAAATCTATAAAAACAAAGTAACATTTCTATGTAAAACAGAAAATGCTTTTTGAAACCAAATAATCCAAAAATTTTCACTCAAACAGTGTTTTCTACCCCCTTCACTCGCTACATTCCTCTCAGGTCTAATCTAGCAATTGGTTGGGTTAAAGGAGTTGGTCAGATTAAGTTAGGCTGGGGGGTGGGGGGTGGAATGTGAAAAATAAAATTTCCCAGTAACTAAATTATACCATTTCATGAACTTCATTCCTCTGGCTGCAAGCTCTTCCTTTGTCTCTCTAACATCGGCCTTCCACCAAGTATCATCATTACTATCTATCTGGAAAGAAAATAAACAGATACTCAGCATAAGCCAAAAGAGAATAAATTACAATTTGCCCAGTACTTGAAGAGCTAAAGAAAAATGTTAGCCATCTTCTACGAAATCGTAAACCACAAGGGTGCATAAAGTGATAAAATCTAGGTACTTGCCAGTGAAAAATCAATTGCAGGAAATAGATATTGATACTCGCTGATGCTTCTTCTTTTGTCACAGGGATGAACTCCCTGCATGAGAAAACACATGGAGAAATCTGTAATGGTCCACATGTAGATGTCAACAAGTTTAAAGAAGGTTATATCAAAAGAGCAAAAAATTGTCTTTAAACATAAAAGACAACTTCTGACAATACTGTGGAAAGGAAAAGAAAATGAAGAAGTAACTTTTCTCTTTTATTAGTAAATTTATGTGCGTCCATTATTTAAATTTAATTTAACCTGTGATTTCATATCTTTCTACACCAGTTATTCAATGTCCCTGAAAAATAGCTGGATCACTGCTCAATAAATGCTATTCAAAATTCAGACCATTATATAGTTGGTCCATAATGCCATTAATCTCAAACTTTATTTTTTTTATGAAGAAAAATATCAGTTTGTTTTGAATAGGATATTTCACATTTTTATTTCATTCAAGTCTTTATTAGAAATTTAATCAAAATAATGTCACATAACTCTTGTAAATGCCCACTAGCAACAACTTCAGCTGTTTAGGCTAAAGTTTGTCAAGCTTTTGTATTATGTATCGACATGTCTTAAATGTCATGTTGTCTAAATAAATTGAACAAAGTTATTATATTAGCTAGGTTAACACCTGTACAGAAAAAATGATTTTTTGGAGAGAAAGGTAGGCAGTAGTTTGAAATTCATGACTTAAAATTGAAAATACAGGGATCTTTTCCCTCCAAAGCTAATCTTATTAAAAGGAGACTAAATCATATTTTAGAAAATGATAGATGTATTTTTTGTAAAAGAGAAGTAGAAAATACTGTACATTTATTCATAGATTGTAGTTTTGTAAAGTCCATTTAGGAAGACATTTAAGCTTGGTTAAATCGTTTATTATGCTCGTATTTTTTCTTAGTACAGAATGCTATTGGTTTTTCTGAGCTGCTACCAGGTAAAAAACGGTGGAAAGTCACTTTGATTATTTGGAGCTTGACATTGTGGTATATTTGAAACTTGAAAGCATAAAAATGAAATTTTTTTTTCTAATTGTGAATTGGATGCCCTGAAAGTGATGGAGATAATTAAATTGAAGACATGGCAAGCTCTTCTAGCTCGTGCTAAAACAGTTTGTTTCTCATTCCTTGCTTGGTGATCTGAACATGTTCTTATCATGGAATTGGTCTTTCCTACATAATGACAGAGAGCTATTACTTCAGAGCATACTTTCCTTCTTATTACATAAGAGAAGGTTAGGTCTAGGAGAAATTGTTTATTTTGGATTAATCTGTGAGACTTAGTATATGGACCTTAATTATTGAAACTTTTGTGCTTATCAAAAAAAAAAAAAACTGAAAATACAGGGGACTTGGTTTGTAAATTTATATGTTGAGGGCAGATGACATAAAGATTGTATGCAATTATATGTGTAAATAAATTGTATGCCAGCTGTATGAACTGTAAAGCGGTAGATTAATTGTGGCTAATGTTATAAATAAGCTAACATTTTGGAGTGAAAATAATTACTCTCAGGAAAACATACATGACATGGAACATATAGGCAGAAATCTTGTTTTATAGATAAAGTATTAGAATAGACACACAAGAAATCAGCCTCAAGGTCCTTGGCAGTGTCTGTTCATTGTGTCTAAAGTTCAAAATCTTATGGCAGTTTGGAGTATTTTCAATTGTATCATCATACCCTAATGATTTTCCAAACCCACCCATAACCTATTATTTAAGTAAGAAAAGTCTATTGACTAGGAAGGAATAACATTCTGAATTCTTCATGCTCCCTTTTAAGTACAAGATATCCATTTTCAGACTAATTTGAATGCATTATCTTGATGGCTAAAATATTTTTATTACCAAGACAAACCTTGCCCATGATGTGAAGGAGATTTCTAGTAAATGTAGCAGAAATATGGTGAAAAATGTCTCCTAGAAGAACGTGCTGTTCCTATAGATTAAAGAGATGTTCAGATTATAAAATGACATACCAAATGTTCCCGACAAAGTTCAACAGCAACAATTGGTGGGTAATTCAGACTTGAAATTGCAGCACAACTACTGTTTCCTGCATTTTCCACCATAAGACATAGGAAATCTGCTCTATCTGTGTAGCCCTCACCTCCAAACACCCCAACAGCAGTTTGTAAAGTCCTAAAACCATACGTTGTAAGTCATTTCAACCAAATCATAAAAACAACATTCTGATATAAACCACAAAAACCCAGAATATAGATAACTTGCAAAGCCCTAATATGGATGTCCCAACCCAGCTCTTTTCAACTAATGCAACCTCATTCATGAGGACACTCTTAGCTAGCAGATCAGAAAAGATGGATAACCTAAATTCTGATAACATTAATTTAACATCTGAGCAACACACCAATGTTTAAAATGTGAAAAATTAAAGATTTCCCTCTGATGTTACTTCATATGTAATTAGCAACATGGCCAGTCTATTAAATCCATTAATCAAGGGAAGCTGATCATGTCGCATATACAACAAACATAAATAGAGAATACCTTTAGTAGCCATTGCAAAACAGCACAATCTTGCCAAACACAGGAAATTTCCCAGAAAATATGAATGAGTTCTAAGCCAATCACAAGGTGAAAGAAAGACAAATGAAGAAAGCATGTCAAGTCTACTAGATATTGGAAATTCATGAATGTGAAACAAGTGCCCTTCCAAGAAGTAAAGAGTCATGTGGTTTCACAATCCATGTTAAGCATTTGAGTCAATGAAGCGGCACGCGGCTTGATACCTCAATAAAGGAGATGCTATGACAAGATCAATCCTCTTCATAAGCCCAGAAGCATGAACATGCTCACGCAAATTGTCAACCTGTCAGCAGCAAAAGATTATCACATGCTAACAAAACTAAACAATCTTTTCCGTCTCTAATATACAGGACTCATGCCAGCTTTTCCCTTCTGAACTTGTTTTGCTCAATAAGGTGCAGTGCTTTACCTGTTGCCAGCCTAATGGAGTAAGATGTGCATCAAAATACTCAGGGTTCATGTATGCTTTGTAGTTCTTATCTCCCTCTACGTTGTGGATCCCCTGTCCATGCCTGACCTGGACGTACGTGTTTTATAAGTTGACAATGCCTTGATTTGCATGGAAAGAACCAAGAATGAAGGCAATCTTGAATATCCTCGTGACAACATACATAGCAGCATCAAGTCCACACTGGATACAGTGTGTTGACTGAAAATTGAGTTCAATTTCAATACCAACCAGGTGAATGGTTTTGCAACGATGCAATGGAAACATATATGAACCACCACCACAATCCATATTCTCTGACAAACCTGGTAAACATTCACGCAGCAGAACAGAACAAAAAATAAAATAATATAGCATCAGACTTCTAGTGAGCTCAAAGATAGAAACAATCGAAGGGTAAAATAATTGTCATCATAAGTAATTTGAACTAATAATTCACTAAATAAAAAGTTATAGGGAAGCACATTGAGAAGAAAAACTATTACCGGAAAACTAGATCAACATACAGCGTTACAATTATCAACAGATTGTTAACAATTTAAGCAAATGGATAAATTGCAATTATTCAAAATCCTTTTCCCTAATTCTTCGAACGCTGCTTAAGCAAATATGCGATTCTTAAAACAAATGTAGTATAGTGTGTAACCTATACTTCACAAATAAAAAAGGAAATTGTAAGAGATTGAGAGGCGTAGATAAAGTCGAAATAAAGAAAGCAAAAGCAGAAAGGAATAAGATCGTTGTTTGGAAGAAGAGATTGGATTGAAGTGAAAAATGATAGCGATCAGAGTGGGGAAGCACCGGAGAAGCAGAGAGCGGAACGACGGGGAAGGAATTGAAATGCGCAGCGAAAGCGTATCGAAGAAGGAAAAGAAGATGGAAACGTTACTGTGATCATACTCATGCTTCTCTATATTTTTTTGGGAACAAATGGGACTGGAAGGAGCTCCTTTGTTTAATTTTAGTTAATTTGAGAAACTTTCTCCTATGATGTTAATGACATGTTACCCACCATTATATAAAGAGGTATGCTTTAAACACATTTTTTTAGTAGTTCAGATTTATTAAAAATACATGAAATTGTTATAATTAGTATTTGTTAAACAAGAAGTGAGATTATATAATTTCATGGCTAAAATAAATTTTAGTTTATATTAAAAAAAATATTTATCTTACAAATGCAGCAATATTAGTGGGCGGACAAAATCAAACTATTTTAAACACCTTTATTTTCGATTAAAAAGATATTTAGATAAACTATTTGATTAAAATTTTATCCAGTATTTTTTATTGAATTCATAATTTTAATTATTAAATTCACTAAAATAATTATATAAATATAAATAAAAGCTTTTAAATGCTCTCTTATTCAATAAAAATTTTGATAAATTAAATTTTCAAAATTAAAAATATAAAAAAATTGTAAGTTATTTTCAAAATTTTAAATAAATGTTATAAAAACTTTTCTAAATACATTTACAATATTTTTTTAGAATAAAGAAGCTATTATTATTTTCTCTTTTACCTATAAAAGTTCATAATTACCGGGAGAAAGTCATTTTGCCAAAAACTTAGCATTTCTTTTATTTTATATTCAATAAAATAAGTAAGATTTAATTAATTTATAAGTTCTTAAATTATTTAAATATTTTTAAATAATTCTATAAATTTTAAAGTTTTTAAGTGGATATTTAAATTTTAAATTTGTTTTTGTACTGTATTTTTTCAGAATACTATTAGTCTATATTTAGATTAAATAAAGAAAGATGAAATGAAATATAAGTTGAAGTTCGATTTATGTAATTCTTTTGTATTAGTGCACTTTTCTTCCCTTTTAAATTGAAAAATATAATGCACAAAATTTATAGATAAAGTCTTTTACATAAAGATTATTACATACATTCCTATTTACATAAATGTTCTAATTTAATATAATAAAAGTTAATTAAAATTAATTTGTGTAAAAGAATAGTTTATCATAATCAATTTTAGAATTTTTATTTTAAATCATGACTGTTCTTCTTATGCATGTTTTTACTATGAAAAAAGACTATTATAATTAACTTTTGTTTATGTAAAAAGTCAATTATAATTGACTTTAGAGATTGCATGCTTAGAAATTATTTGATGTAAAGTTAAACAATAAAGTTTTTATTTGTTTTTACTTTTGATATCAAATTAATGAACATGTGTTTTGTGATGCATTTCTAAAAGTATCTTTGACCCACTAAAAAATATATATTCATCACTTTTTGTCAAATATATTAATTTTTATGCTTAATATGTTTATAACATGAGTCTTTTACATAAATAATATATTAAAAAAAAGTTGCATTTAAGGACACATATATATACTCCAAATCTAACTTTATAATTTATTATGATGATAATCCATAAATATTATTCAATGAAAATTTATATTTATACAATTAAAATATATAATAATGCTTTAATGACCATAGGCAAAATATTATGAAATTAGCATAACAAATTCGATAAAGTGATGCATCCATGGAAATTGGGGAACAAAACAATTAGCATGTGAATGCCACCCATTCTATGCAAAACATGTTATTCTCTAAATTCAAAATCTTTTCATACAGCTTTTTTTAGCAAATTTAATGTACAAATGTATAGTAAAATTCAATTATAATTGACTTTTTTACTTACACCAAAATTGATTATAATCAATTTTTCACATACTTTCTTATGTACAGAAAAATAGATTGTAATTGATTTCTCTCACAGTTAAAAAAAATTCAAATTTTCTATATTTTTGGTAAAAATTACATTCTGCAATATATTTTTAGTTGAATGTATTTAAATTTGTTTAAGTGAAAATTAAAAATTTTGCTTAAGTAAAAGATGGGAATAAAAGAGAGTAGAAGAGGGAGGAGTAGGAAGGACAAAGCGGAAAGAGAAAGAGTATAAAGAGGTTGGGTAGAGTAAAGGAGGGGGAGAAGAGGATTAAGTGGGAGAGATAACAAGTAAGAAAAGGAGGGGTGTGAGGAAGAGAGACTACGAGAGTGGGAAGCGAGAAAAAAGAAAAAAAAAGATAATTACATTTTTTTAAAATAAATATAAACTTAGAAAGTGAGAAGTTTTTTACAGTAATATTATAAAAAAAAAATACTCAAATAAAATAAATGCTATTTTAATTACCCAACTAGACCTAAATTTTGAGCAATAATTTTGGCACTCAAAATTCGCTTCCCAAACAACTGAATTTTGAGTTTTTTATTTTATTTTTTTATTTTATTTTATGTTTTTATATAATAAATTAAATATTATTATTTAAATTATATTTATATATTTATATTTTATAAAAATAAATATTTATAAATATTTTGTTAGTTATATATAATAAAATAAGTTTTATTATTTGAATTATATTTATATTTTTATATTATTTAAAAATGAATAAAAAGAATAATAATATTAATTTTAAATATTTATTAAAATTGATTTCACATATTTAAAATAATAAATAATATTTTTATTTTTCTTATTATATTATTTAATATAATTTTATTTTTAAAATGATATTAATATTAATTGAGAAATTATATTTTAAAAAAATAAAAATTACAATAATAATTTATTTAATTTTATATATTTATAAAATAAGTAAAATTATTAAATAATAACTAGTTAATTTATTTATTTTGAGATATTAATCTTTATTAAAATTTATACATAATTATTTATTTAAAAAAATATAATATTAATATTAATAAACATAATTAAATAATACTATGTAGATATATTATATATATAATTATATATTTAATATAAATTACAAATACTAAAAATTTAAAAGTTGCAATGACATTCATAAAATTAAAAATGACATTAAGAAAATTTTAAAATAATAACAACATAAATCAATGACAGAAACTAGAAACTTGAGTAATGTTTGGACATGTCTTCCTTGTGTGACCAGGAGTATGACAATAAGAACAATTTTTTGCCTGACTTTGTTGTTCTCTAATATCCATCTCTGTTCTTATCCTATTGGACTTGGGTCGACCCTTTGAAGTTCTTTTCAATTTTGAATTTGGACACAAAGTTAGGCCTGTGTAAGTTGGCCAATAGTCTTTGTGTCTGAGTTCTCCAAATTGACCTTCGTATATCTTAGAAACTTGTTGTAAGGTATACACGAGAGATATGTAGATGTCAAAGTTGTGGTGTGTGTGTAAGCATGAAGCAAGTACATGCAAGCATGAGATGTGAACTTTTTGAAACTTGCCACAATCACACCACATTTCATCTAACTGTACTATAAATCTTCCTACAGGTCGAATTTCTGTCTGATGTTGCATTTCTTCGACTAAAAATCTAGTACTTGTTCTGTCAAAGATGATGACTCTATGAGTGTTCGCGTTTGATTGTGCATCTTAAATTGCTTTAGTTGCAACCTCCGAGTACATATGTCCAGCATTAATTATTGCATCTACTTCCTTACTTCTGTCAATGAAGAACTTATTGCAACAAGTGTATGTTGCCATGACCATGGAGCAAATTGGTAGGGTTTTAGTTTTCTTCAAGATTGAATTGATTGACTCCGCTAGGTTGTGTCCCCAGCATCGTCCGTTGTCCCGTGCTAGTCAAGGAAGAGTCACTTATTGGCTCTATTCTAAAATTGAAGTGGCTGAGAGACAACATGTTGCCATTACCAGAAAAACTATATGAAGAAAAAGTTCACGCCTATTGTAGGGCTTATATATTAGGTTTAATTGGAGGTGTTTTGATGCCCGACAAAACAGGAAACAAAGTACATCTTATCACTTATGTATTTAGCTTTATTAACTAATCTTAGAAGAACAAGACGATATAGTTAGGGTTCTGCTTGTTTAGCTATATTGTACAGGGAAATGTGCAGAGCCACGGAAGTTGGTAGCAAAACAATGGGTGGTTGCTCATCATTGTTAATGTCCTGGGCATGATATCGCATGCCATATATTGCGTTAATTTCTAGTAATTCACCAATATACCCTCTTGTGTGCAGATGGAGCAGTGGTAGAGTACTAAACTTTCGAAATAAACCTCACAAGTTGTGGGGTACAGATCAATATTTGATCACATTTAAGCTAATCAGGTAACTCTTCATATTTATTTTCTTATATTTTATACATCATCTTAAGTAATAAAGTTAAATATATTTGTAGTTTTTATGGGCACCATATCAAGACTTGCAAACATCAATACCTATGGAAGCGTATAAAGATGTCCAACTGTGGACTTCATGTACCACCATCCTTTGTTTTATAATCGTTGAATGACACAAAACAGATAGAGTCAAATTACAGTTTTGTCTCTTCCAAGAAGTCTTTTCTCTATCGAATAATTTGAATGACCTCCACAAAATTGATATGAGCGGAAGACAGGATGAAAATTAGATTACAAGACATGGTCAATAGATCGAGATATGGAACAACAGACGTGAGCTGACAATAACTGGTCATCCAATGTAAGGCTTATACATGGAATGATACATTGTCAATTTCATTTATTTCTTATATGTGCCACTACTACTACAAGATCCAACGAGGAGCGAGCAACAACTAAGGACTACCAACACATTTGAAATCGGTACGACTTCCACTCCGTCGTATCACGAGACTGCAACAATTCCTTTGAACATTACGTCAGAAGCAAATATAATTAAGACAAGACATTTGTTTGCAACAACATCGAAGGATTTTTTTTACAAACTTATATGCATTCTCTTTACCAACCAGATTTTGCTAATGAACCTGGTAATTCATCAAATGCATTTCAACAACTAGACCTTCATGATGATCTAAATCCTCCACAAGTTCATTCTGAAATTTCAGAGCAACAACCACAACGACGAAACCCACCACGTCATAAACATCGCCCTCGTTGTGGAACTGACCACCATTACAGAGATAATTAATTATTAATGTTGTTATGAATTTGTTATCATCTTTATTAATGCACTTTGTCTTCATCAATGTTACCTTAATAACATGAAAACGTTAATATCAAAATATTTGTCTCAACTATAAATAATTAACTTATAATTTAATATTTTATTGACTTTTAAAAAGTAAATTTTTTATTCTCAAATAAAATTTATTCAAAATATCATTTTATCATACTAATATTTAAAAATATTAAGTCAAAATTACATATTTAAATAAATAAATAAACAGAATAATATTTTATATATTTATTTAATTTTAAAAAATATATTTATTATTCTTTAAGTATAAATAATCTAAGCATTAACATTATTATCTAAAATAATATACTTATTATTTAAATATTTTAATTAGTTTTTCAAAATTATCTAAAATAATTTACTTATTATTTAATTCTTTTAATTAGTTTTTAAAAATTTAATTATTATTGTTTTCTAAAAATATTATTTATTATCTTAAATATGTCAAATATATTTTAATAAACATTTAAAATTAAAATTATTATTATTTTTATTCATTTTTAAATAATATAAAAATATAAACATAATTTAAATAATAAAACTTATTTTATTATATATAACTAACAAAATATTTATAAATATTTATGTTAATAAAATATAAATATAATTTAAATAATAATATTTATTTCATTATATAAAAACATAAAATAAAATTAAAAAAGAAAAAAAAAGCAACTCAAAACTCAGTTCTATGTTAAAATTGTTGTAAAAAATTTGAGTGCAGTTGAGTAATTAAAATAACCTCCATTCTATTTACGCATTTTTTTTATAATATTGCTGTAAAAAACTCTAAAGTGAGAATGACTTATTTAAATAAAGATATACTATAAATTTTATAATTTGCGTCAAAATATTATAAAATTCATTTTTATCATAAACATGTAAAAAATAAAAAAGAATTATGGTCAAAATTAAAATATAAGTTAATTAAAATAAAATTTTCTTTTATCATATCAAATTAAAATATTTATGTAAATATATTTAATTTGAAGAGATGTATAATATATCACCTTATTTATTTATTTATATAAAAGACCTATATATATAATGAATTTAAATATTTATTCTATTATATTTTACTTGAAGCTATCTCTTTTTAATCTATTCTATTTTTCTATTAATTGCAAAAGGTACTTAAAAGTTTTATTAAATATAGTCACAAATTAATTTTTTCAAATAATTGATTAATTATTCAGTCCTTAAATTATTAAAAAATAGTTAAATTTTTGTATTTAACAAGATCTTAATAAAGAAATATAATTGAAGTAACTAAAAAATTAATTACAAAATTTTGAAATATAGAGATTTATTATAAATTTTTTAAACAACTGAAAAACTTGTTGATTAATTTAACCATTAAATAAAGAAAAAACTTAGCACAATTCTCTCTTTATTTTTTCATAAAAAAATACAAAAGAAAACAGGTATTTTTTCTCCTCAATTTTCTTTTATGTGCTGCTAAACGAATTTATATTTGTATATCCACAACCACAGGAAGGATACTACCCCTCACTATTTCCCTGCTGCTTGGCTTGGAGTTGGAAATCTCCAATTCCATCCCCCCAAAAACCAATATCTCAATCCAATCCAATCCAATCCACACAAATGGCTCTCAAGATTCAGGTGATTCCCCCTTTCTTCTCCAACTCGCCGGTCGCTCTCTTCACCCATAAAAGCAAGACCCGAATTTCATGCAGAGGCGGCGACGGCATCAGCGACGCAGCACTCGCATCAGAGTTTGCCGCAAAGGCTGCAAAAATCAACGCGCATTTGGGGCAAGCGGAGGAAGCCATGAAGAAGAGCAGAAAGCTTCTCTTCGGGGAACTGTGCGAGTACATGGGCCTCAGGGAAGAGGAGGTCCAACAGAAATGGAGCAAGATGGGTGAGGACGAGAAATGGGTTTTGGTTAAAGGCTTTGTTGCAGACTGGGGTGCGCATTTTCATCCCTTGTCCGCAAGGTCCACCAAAGAAATGTTGGAGGAATATGTACGACAGGGACAGGGGAACCCACCTCCAAACCCTCCTCCTCCTCCTTTCTTGTTTCCAGGACTCAGCGGAATAATTGGTTTTCCTTAGTTGGTTTTTCGTACTTTTGTTTCTCTTTTACAAAATTAGCAGAAAAAAAAAATCAAGGTTACTTTATTTGCTGGGCCGAAATAAATATTTGAGTAGATACGTTTCCTCGCCTGACTTTATAAAATGAAATTGATGACATGTGAACCACATCTCTCATGTTTGCAAATTGGCTTGTCCAATCGTTAACAATTGTAAACGAGTTCAACATCTACTCACACACACCATTCACGGGGCGTTAAGTCGTTTTCCCAATCTCCATACATTGGTTCCCAGTTTAGTTCTTTTTCGTATAATGCAACACCGTCTATCTTGTAGATCACATGAGGAGTGATGTAAGCAAAGAAGGATAATACAAGTTAGGGTACACAAACTAGCAAATTATGCATGCAGCGCTATTCACATTGTTAGATTATTTAAGTATTGAATAACAATATTAGGTATGTTTAGCTTAAATTTACTTATTTTTGAAAAAGTAAATATACTTTAAAATTTTAGAGAAAATAAAAAAGTTATTTTCTCGCAATGGGCAAAAAAGAGACCCGTTGAGCCGCAAAATGGCAAGGGCTTATCAATATATGTGGTAAAAAAAAAAACATTGCCACTAACCAAAGGCTTCGAATGATTCGGTGCTGAAAAACATAACTGGCCGAAATATAGTTCGGGTAATGGCCGCCGTCAAGAACCAATATGAAAATGGCATAAAGTAAAACTCAATGATCCAAAGACAACTGTGAATATTAGCAGAACAATACCATTTTTATCGATCGCAAAAGTACAGTAGATATACGTAGTTGTGCGCCATCTTATGATACTAATTTATAGCACTGAGATCATGGAAGCACCTGTACATGGAAAAGCAAGAACTGTCGGTAAAATTGGATATTCCAAGACAATGTGGGGAGGGGAAGACGGGGACGGGGATGTTGGAATCAGAGCTCCCGGTAATAGACAGGTTCTTTCAATTTTTATTCACTCGGTCTTATCAAATGTAAAGGAGATTTTATAATATTTATATACAACCACAAAGCTATAAATGCTGTATTGTACCAATGAAATATATGTGAGAGAAATGCACAAACACCATCAGAAGTACAGCTGTCTGCATTGTGCAACTGTAGCATCGGCTGGACAATATGGACACTTGAATGTTCGGGTGCTGTTTTTTGATAACTTCATAATTGATTGCTTGCAAAGGACATGTAGACATGGCAACAGCATTGGAGGATTTTCTTCACTTCCTTGATCCCTACTCACAGGGCAAACAAAAATCGAATGGAACTGAAATTCCTTACCCAATTCTACAGGCACGGGCAATTGTTTCATTTCCTGCCACTCCTGCTTCTTTGCTGCCATTACATTTGCAAGCTTTAACAGTGTAGGCAACCCCTCAACTCCAGCTGCAACTGCTACACTGAGTGGGTTCTCATAGGACTGCCCCAAGAGAGTGCAGAACTGCCGTGCCAACTCTTCAGTTGTCATCTCCCAATGAATTGGGGATATCAACTCAGAATAAGGGGAGCTCTCTAGCCTTCCTGCATACAAGAGGCAACCCATAAGCTTTTGGAACTCATCCTTGTTGAGGGAAGCAAAAGGAGCAAGATAAGTTCGGGCATATTTTAAGGCATCAGCTCGGGTTCCATTTTGCAGGACCTCTACAAACTGCAGTGTGTGAATCTTAAGCTCAAGGTTGGAACCAATCTGAATAAGTTTCTCTCGATGGGAAGAGACCCATGTGAGAGCAGGCTGAAGGTTTCTATCCCTCATAGCTCCAACAATCTGGTGCATTTCCAAGAATTGAGATTTTAGTGCAGTTGCATCAGGCTCTCCAGCCTCATTTATGATGCTATCTCCAAGATCAAATAAGCCTTGACGGTAAAAGTGGTTTGCAATGATCTGATTGACAATATGAGTATCAAACTCCACATTTCTGTATGCCTTTGATATGTCAGGATTTAATGATTTTTCGAGGAGTTTTTGATACTTGGTAAGACTTATGTTCAATTCCTTATTTGATCCTTCCAACTGTTGAAGTGGCCCAATATCATTAAGCTTATACTTAAGTTCTGTAAGAATGGATTTCTGGCCAACAGGAGATGAGGGGTCATGAGGTGACCGAATTGTTGCCAATGCCTGCTCAATTTCACGCCCCACCTGGTCAACAACTTCTTGAGACTTGGAAGAGGACAACTTTTGTTTCTTAGCTACACGGTCAAATGCATCTTTGATGCTACTCAGCTCCATGATTACATTCAGATCACAAACTACAAAAATGTCACAAAGAACAGTTAGTCCTGTTCAGAAAGACACAATAAACTGTTTTATTAGTGTAAAAACTAAGAACCTAGAGTAACACGAGAGGCACCCAGCTAAACACAATAGCAACAATAGTCCCCTATTAACAATTGTTAGTAGTTACAAGGCTTTATTAAGAACAGCAATCACAATCAGTCCAAGAAGTTGAAACTATATGATTATTAGCTGTTTTCTCCATCAGAGCTTAAAATGTACTCTTACCTTAGCTCAATTGAAGGGGACGATAATTTTGAGCTTATTGAGAACATCAGTACTACCAATATAAAGAAGCAACATACAAAAGATTTTGAAGGACCTATTTATTAATTAAAAATCATGCAAATCTCAAAGCCATTGCACAGAGTTTCAGCTCAGCCCAGTCTCAAATAACAATATCAAGGGATCGCCAACTGATTATGTAAAAAGGCTACTTAAACTAGGGTTCTGAACTCTACTCAGAGGATCCTCCATTTGGATTTAAAATCCTGAATGAGGAAGACTCTAAGCTAAATGTTGCACGATCATTATCAGAAACACTGCATGTACGACATTATTTCCTCTTAGAACTTAGAAAATAGGGATTTCATTCATATTGAATAATACATCAACAGGTGAGCTATATAAATGATAAGTCAAAGCAGAATAGGGGATGAATTAAAAGTTAAATCCCGTTATTTGTGGATATTCCAGCTGACTAAGGATTACAATTATTAAATGAGCCTAATTCTATGGATGCCCTCACTGACCCCATTCTCAACTTGATAGTTTTGGGTCTTTGATTGACCAGGTTTTCCACCTTCAATGCCTTGTTCTTTTCCAACATTTGCAGCTGATTTGCCACTAGCCACCATGGCAGCAGTCCTGCTGATTTTTGGTTCAAACACCAACCCTCTCCTATTCTCTTTACTTGGAACTATGTACGCAACTTCATCAAGATCTAGAACCTTTAACTTGCCAAGAGTCTGTATCCTTGCTTGACCAAACTACAATTAAAGTCCAACAAGAAAGTAATTGGCTCTATCTTAATCAATGAAGTTGTTTTATCATAGCTACATCATCAGGATATTTGGTTTGTATGACTCTATTATGATCCAATTCTTGCCATAAGGACTTCAGTTGATTGGCATATGCAATGTATTGTTTCCCTACTTTACTGCCAGTCTTTGCACCTTTGCCTTGTATACTTGAGCAGCACTCTTGACCTTGGAAATCGGAATAGGTGCACAATTGCTTCTCAAATGTCCTTGGCAGAGTCAAGAACATGACTGTGTCATTGATTTCAAGGGCAATAACTCAACAGACATGACATAACAATGCAGTCTTCTTCATTCCGTACTTAAAATTTGGGATCTACTTGCTTTGGTCTACGTATGAGGTGGCTAATCTTCCTGTTTCCTTTGAGTATGGTGCAAACCAATTGACACCATTGAAGTTAGTTTTTTTCCCAATCAGCCAGTGTGCTGATTGAATGTTCTACTATTCTCCAAACTGTTAAAATTGCATATCCTCAATATCTTTTCTCTCTGACATCATTTGCACATAGCACTCCCTAGGCAATTAAGGCCCACTTGCTTTGAACAGAAATGGCCAGCAATTAAGGCCAGCAGGTGCATGATGTCATCAGCAACAAAGGACAAATGACTAACAAAGAGAAATAGAGGTATGTGCATCATATTGTTGGCAAGAAAGGCTAATCAATTGATAAAGCAGAAACACAGGAGGTTTCAAAATGAAAGAGAAACGACATAGTTGCTATGACTTGTGGGATGTTCTAACTGACTAAGAAATACAATAAAAAAAATCAAATGAGCCTAATTGAAAGCAAAGATTCTGTTTCTGTTAGATTTTTTTTTTTTTTCTGAAATAGCTGACTTACACAGTTCCTCAAGTTCATGTTATAATGGGTCCTTGTTTAGCTGGGGATTGGAACTACAGAATAAATCATTTGCCCATCTTTATCCTAACTTGTCCATATGTCATGTCAGTTTTGTAACAAAATGATATCAGTGAGCTGTCGTGCACGGAGATGTATAGCTCACCTGAACTAAGAGTTGAAAACAAATATAGTATCGAAATAGAAAAACATATAGAAGACTGGTTGTTACAATTGTCACAAGTGAACAATACCAGCTAACAAAGAAAGGGGGGTAATTGAGCACTGAAAATCAAAATGGTTAGTCCTTTATATTTAAAATAGAATCAGCAATAGATACAGGTCTGACCAAAACAGTATTAAGATAACATTAAAAAAATCTGTACATATAGACATCAGATTCAGCCAAAGGGTAAGCCTGTTAGCTTCTTATGTAAAGATGAGGGTTCATGGTGTTAATTGTACGCCCAAATGTCCACAAAAGATAATGGCATATTGTAATGGGTAAGTTTTAGGTGTAAATACTAACCTAAAAGATCAGCAGCAACTATATCAATAAGAGCCTTCTCCTTGACTACAGTTTATCTCTTTTCTTATTGATAGCAATTACCTCATGACCTAATTTTCAAATTAATGGGGGGTCACTTTGACATATTATATGCATTCTCAGTTATATAATAAAGTGCAATGTGAACCACAAAGTATACCATGATGTGTATTCCTAGCAGCAGAAATGAGCTATTAAAATTGAATAAAAAAAGAAGAATTAAAATCCTTATCTAAGTTAAACAAAGAAATCTGAAACCTCAAATGAATAATCTTAAATTAACTAGTGATGACAATAATCCTTACTTTTGGAGTAATTATAAGCGGCAGCAAATATCTGAAATTGTTCATTTGGTGTCTAAAATTGAGCATGGATTTGAAGCTTCAAAATTAGAATTGGGCCTATTAATTCTAATTTTTATGTTTGAAATTCCTTTTGGATTAGAATCAAATTCAATGACAATTCCATGGAATTTTCGAAGCATCCGCTGCAAAGCAAACTGTTCAAATCTATAACTACTTGGACAGCTTAATACCAAAAATATGTTTCTAAAGAATCAATTTTACCCATAGGATAGTATCAAAATGTCAAATGAAGATTACAATGTTCAGAGCAACTCAAAATTACAAAATTCAACACTGTAAACAAAGGAAATAAGAGATTCCGTTCTCAAATAGAAAGCACAACTCTTCCAACGGCAGCAATCGAATTCAACAGAATGAAATCAAGAGGCGTAAGCAGTAAATAGTACATAATTGACTTTCTTTCTTTACCATCATAATCCCTGATAATACTTAAAAAAAAAATTATATTCAAAATTTCACCTGTTAGAAACAGTGAATTCAATCAAGAAAGAAGGAACCGAAGAAAAACAAATCAAAAGTCGAAAAAATAAATAAAGGCATATATTTCGGTAATTTGTAGTCGGTTTTATAGGCGAAACTATGAATCCTTGAAATTAAGTAACGGAAAACAGAAAATGGAGAAGTTAAAAGAGAGAGAGTGAGTGTTCTGGGGGAAAAAAAAAAGAAAGTGCACATGGGTTTCTGTTACCTGAGAAACAGTGAGAAAGAGCGAAAGCGTGTGCGATGTGAGGGAGACGAGACGAAGAAGGGAATGCAGACGTGCGACTAAATCGGGTTCGGGTTGGCCACCAGGCACACGTGCGAAAGCAAAAATCCTCCTTTGGACTAAATTACCCCTTGTCTTCTTTGAATTCACTCTTGTACCCTTCAGACGTTATGGGCGTACACTACTACGAGGCCACGTGCCTTATTTGAACCAATGAAAATTAAACACGTAAGCGAGCCCCTTCGATTGAACTACCCCAACAAGACTTTGTCTCTTGCCTGAAATGTGTTATTTTCATATTTGCTTTTCCAAAGTATATTTGCCATGAAGTATTTTATTCATCTATATTTATAGGTTAATATGCTTTCAAGTATTAATTTTGAAATTAGTGTTCAAAACACTGGACAAATTGTCTTAATCTATTAGGGTGTTAATAATTGTTACAATTAATAAATTAATGACTTTTATTTTAAAATGACTTCTAGCTTTTTAAGAAACTTATTAAAATAAAGTTTTTAAAAAAACAGGAAGAATATTTTAATTCTAAAATGTATAAATTTAGAACAAATTTTTAAATAATTAATTTTTAAAAAAATGTCGATATACTTGTACACTAATATATATTAACAAACTTGTACAATATTCTTTCTGTAACAATTTTGCACAATTTTCTTTCTGTAACAAACTTGTACAATATTCTGTTATTTTGTTCTCTCTATTATTTGTTATTTTGTCCTTTCTGCTATTAGAATTCTAGAAGAGTGTGAGCTGTATTTAGGAAAATCATTGTATATAAATATTGGATGATCTTTTGCTGAATAGTAACGGAGATAAAAAAACATTCCAAAACACGGTCATTCTTACCTTTTGTCATCTTTCGTCATATGGTATCAGAGCTCCCTCCTGGAGCTCTGCTTATTCCTTCCAAATGTCTTCTACTCCTCCTGACAGTCCAAAGAACTCCAATAATGAAGGTCCTAAGAAAGAAAACCATGGCAATGAAGCCACTAATCCTACCATGAACCCATCGAGTCCCTTCTTCATTCATCCTAGTGAAGGACCCTCCTCTGTCTCCATAACCCTTGTCCTTGACGGCACAAACTATCAGTCTTGGTCTCGTGCCATTAAAATGACTTTAATCTCAAAAAACAAGATGGCTTTCTTGTTAGGCACCATTCATGTTCCTAAGGTTGAAGAACCTCTTTATTCTGCTTGGGAAAGGTGCAATACCCTCATCATGTCGTGGTTACTCAACTCGGTTACTCCCTCCATCGCCCAAAGCGTTATTTTCTTTTAGTGTGCCATAGACATTTGGAATGACCTTCGCGAACGTTTTTCGCAAGGCGATCTCCTCAGAATCACAGAGCTCCAGGAAGAAATATATGGACTTTCTCAAGGAACTCGCCTTGTCTCTGAGTTCTACACTGCACTGAAGACCCTCTAGGAAGAACTCGATAACTACAGACCCTTTTCTTCTTGCTCGTATCCTGCAAAAACTTACCACCAACAGGATTTCATAATCTGATTCCTTAAAGGTTTGGACGAGCGCTTCTCTGTTGTGCGTTCCCAAATCCTTTTGATGTATCCTCTCCCCGCTATCAACCGCATCTTCTCCATGGTTGTCCAGCAGGAACGACAACTCGCTTCGTCTTCACCTACTGAGCCCAACGCCTTTGTGAACGCAGCTAATCACTCTTTCTCCGGCAAAGGGCGTGGCTCTGGTCCTTCTTCTGCTGTCAAAGGAGTCTCCAACAAGAAATGCTCCTACTGTCACCGTCTTGGACACACCATTGACGTGTGTTGGGGAAAGCATGGCTATCCCCTAGCCATCCTTGATACCCAGGGAGGCCAAAGTTCAACCGCGATGCCTCTGGTTCTTCCTCCATCAACAACGCAGCTGTGATTGACCAATTGAGGGAGGCAACGATTCAGAGAAGGAGGGAGGCCCCATCACATAGACCTAGACCCGATATCAAACCCTAATGTCTTTGCTCCAACCACAGCAACAACAAAAATGCTTATGATGTAACAGGGCCCAACTTTCTCGTTCAACCTAATAGAGTGAATCTCATCAACACTCCAAATGCTCAAAAAATTTTTGAGTCCAGTGGTACCTCCTTTGTTTTTTGCACTAACACACACAACACCTTTTACACCACTCACAATGTCCCCTGGATCATAGATTCAGGAGCAACAGATCATGTTGCATCTTCTCTAAATTATTTTTCAAATTATTCTAACACTAAACCAATACAAATAAGTTTACCTGATAAGTCCATTGTTACTGCCCATATATCCGGAACAGTCATTTTCTCTCCCGAATTTATCATTCATAATGTTTTGTTTGTTCCGAAATTTCATTTTAATCTTTTATCCATATCCAAACTCATAATGACTCATAAATATATTCTCATCTTCCATGATTCTTTTTGCACTATCCAGGACAAGCGTACATTGGGGATGATTGGTTTGGCTAATCTTCAACAAAGTCTCTATCATCTACAAGTCAACAAAGAAGCCAAGATTCTTTCACCAAACAAACCTTCCATTAATGAAAGTGCTACCAATGCCGTCTCAAACTCCAACCTTTGGCATTATAGATTAGGACATCTCTCAGGAAACCGATTAAATATGTTATGTGAACAATTTCCTTTTATTCCAAAACATATTAATGAAAATTGTGACATTTGTCATTTTGCAAAACAAAGAAAATTGTCTTATTGCCTTAGTGATAGTAGAGCTTTTAAAAACTTTGATTTGGTGCACATGGACATTTGGGGACCTTTTTCTAAGGCCTCAATTCATGGTGAGAAATATTTTTTAACTATCTTGGATGATTTTAGTAGATATACTTGGATTGTCTTATTGAAATCAAAATCCGAAGTAAAAATACATGTTCAAAATTTTATTTCCTTAATTGAAAACCAATTTGATTCCAAAATAAAATGTATTCGGACGGATAATGGTTCAAAATTTTTTCTTAAAGATTTTTTTACTTCAAAAGGGATTATACATCACACCAGTTGTGTTTATACTCCTCAACAAAATGGGCGTGTTGAGAGAAAACACCAACATATTCTCAATGTGGCACGTGTTCTCATGTTCCAATCTTAATTGCCCAAACATTTTTGGTCTTATGCAATAAAACATGTAGTTTATCTTATTAATCGTATACCTTCTCTAGTTACAAAGAAACAAATTCCTTATGAACTTTTGCATAATTAAAAACCTGATTTTTTCATGCTTAAAGTTTTTGGTTCTTTATGTTATGCATCAACAACTGGGCCCAAACAGAAATTTGATCCTAGGTCTAGAGAAGGAGTTTTTCTCGGTTATTAATTTGGTACAAAAGGCTATGTTATTTTAGACTTACAAAATAAAGACATTTTTGTCTCTAGAGATGTTATCTTTTATGAGTCCCATTTTCCTTTTAACAACAAACATGAGGCCCAAGAAAAGGAAAAGTTATTTCCTCCACAAACAGAGACCTTCAATGACTTTGATCCTCTCCAACTCACACCTCATCCCAACAATTTTACACCTCAGGACCAACTTCCATCACAGACTCTCATTTCATCTCAAAACTTATCTTCCCCAACAACCTCAACCTCTCCACAAATTTTGCCATCAACCTCTCCATCCTAGTCAATCTCGCCACATATCTCTTTATCACCTCATCTAAGCCATATTCCTTTCATACCAAGACGAACCATTCGTGGCTCTAAACCCAATGTTCAACTTGCGAATTTTGTTTGCTACAACATAGAGACCAAACCAAATCAATCATCGTCAACGTGCAGGTATCCTATTCAATCTGTTCTTTCTTCCATTACTGAGTCTGAGTGTCATTATATCATGAACCTAACTTCTGAGATTGAGCCCCGAAGCTATCAAGAAGCAATTTTGAAGTCGTGTTGGAAAGAATCCATGAAGGATGAAATTGAGGCTTTAAAGCTGAACAAAACTTGGGAAATTGTGGAAACTCTTAAGAATGTCAAGCCCATAGGATGTAAATGGGTTTACAAAGTCAAAAGGAAACCAGATGGGAATGTGGAGAGATATAAGGTGAGGCTCATTGTGAAAGGATTCTCTCAAGTTAAAGGGATATACTTCTTCGAGACTTTTTCTCCAGTGATTAAAATGGCTACCATACAAGTTATCCTTGCCCTAACTTCTATAAACAATTGGCAATTGTAGCAACTGGATGTTAGTAATGCCTTTCTACACGGTGACTTGTCCGAGGAGGTTTACATGAAGATTCCTCAAGGTCTATATGGGCATGAATCCTCACAGTGTTGCAAGCTCAAGAAATCTCTCTATGGGCTCAAACAAGCAAGTCAAAAATGGTATGAAAAACTATCTAACCTTCTTTTCTCATCTGGTTATTCACAATCACATGCTGATCACAACTTGTTTATCAAGCATGAAAAAGGAGAATTTACTGCTTTACTGATATACGTTGATGATATTGTTTTAATTGACAACTCTTTCACTGAAATAACAAAGCTCAAGCATACACTTCAATCCAATTTTTGAATTAAAGATTTGGGGGAACTCAAATATTTTTTGGGATTAGAAGTAAGCAGGTCTGATGATGGCATCTTTGTATCTCAACGAAAATACTGCCTTGAGTTACTTTCAGATTCAGGATTATTGGGTTGTAAACCGAGTTCCACACCTATGGATAGCTCTCTTCGTTTAAAATAGGATAATTCGAGTGAATTACTTGATGATCCCCTATCCTATAGGTGCCTTGTTAGTCGTTTGATTTACCTCACAACGACTCGTCTAGACATCGTTTTTGCAACTCAGCAATTAAGTAAGTTCATGGCAAATCCTACAAAGTCTCATTTAGGTGCTGCAAAAAGAGTTCTTAAATACTTGAAAGGCTGTCCAAACAAGGGGCTCTACTTCAAACAGAATTCTCCTATCCACCTAATTGGGTTTACTGATGCCGATTGAGCAACTTGCGTCTCCACACGTCGTTTAGTCACAGGGTATTGTTTCTTCATAGGGAACTCTTTAATTTCCTGGAAAACCAAAAAATAGAATACTGTGTCTCGTTCTTCCTCCGAAGCAGAGTATAAAGCCCTTGCTACTAGCACCTGTGAGTTGCAATGGTTAACTTACCTTCTCAATGATCTCAAAATTCAGTGTTCTAAGTCAGCAGCACTTTATTGTGATAATCAGAGTGCTTTACACATTGCTGCAAATCCCGTATTTCATGAAAGAATGAAACACTTGGAGATAGATTGTCATTTGGTTCGAGAAAAGGCACAAGCAGGTTTAATGAAACTTCTACCAGTTCCATCATCTCGACAACTTGCTGATATCTTCACTAAAGCTCTTCCTCCTCAGCTATTCCATGCAAACTTGTCCAAGCTAGAGATGGTTGACACTCCTCTCCTGTTTGAGGGAGGCTAACAAACTTGTACAATATTCTTTCTGCAACAATCTTGCACAATTTTCTTTCTGTAACAAACTTGTACAATATTCTGTTATTTTGTCCTTTCTGCTATTAGAATTCTAGAAGAGTATGAGCTGTATTTAGGAAAATCATTGTATATAAATATTTGATGATCCTTTGCTGAATAGTAACGAAGATCAAAAACATTTCAAAACACTGTCATTCTTACCTTTTGTCATCTTTCGTCATATATATCATACTAGCACTTATCATAACCATCTAATACATGTATTAATTAGTATGAAATTATTTAAATTTGACTATTTAAGATATTTGTTTGTTCTAATGTTTTAAGCTAGTGATAATTTAAAATTGAAATTAATTAAATATAATAATAATAATATAAAAATAGATATTATCAATCTATTTTAATTTGAATGGTCTCACATCCACCTCCACCTTCATTTCAAAAGAAATATGCATGTAGTTTACCAAAAATATAAATAAATATGCATGTGGGAATATATTTGATATTATTAATATTAGTTATTTAAAACATTTTAATTCACATGTTTATAAAAATTATATTTAAATTTTCATTCCTAAAAGATATAATATTTTTAAAGCTAGCTATATCTATCTATATATCATATGAACACGCGCACGTATGCCATTTTATATTTATTAATTAGTTTAATATTTAATTTTTTAATTTAATAATTTTCAATTAAAAAATATCTTTTAAATTTTTATTAACTTTTCATTAAATTAGACTAAATATAGTCTAAGCCTTGTAATGTGAAATTAATGTTTGAAACTTGAAAACCTTGTCCTCCATCTCATACTATATATTTTCTTTGTGAATATCATAGTCTGTTATTTACTTTTTATTTAAAATAAAAAGTATTCATTCTTTTCTTTTTTTTAGTAATACTCTTACTTATTGCTGTCTCACTTAAATACTCAAATAAATGAACAAAATACATTTTAACCTTTTTAATAATGATATTTTGGTTTAATAAAATCATTCTATATCAAACAATTCATATACTTTATTTGATTATTTTATATTTAGATATTTAATAATTATATATTAATAAAAATAATAACAAATATTTAATTATATTATTTTTAAAATTTTATAAGATGCCAAATTAACCATCTTTCAATACCACTGAACTAAAATTTATTATTAACATTTTAATTTTGAAATTTTACTTCTTCCCTTATTAATTATAATTCACGAATCCCATAATTCTATTTATTAAAAGTAAAAAAAATTATAAAATACCTATAACAAGAAGCATCAAAACTCTTTAGATAACAACTTATGAAAATTAATAATTGATAATATTTATAACAAAACATTTATTATTTTAAAAATTATCAATTTAATTAACTTCAGTCTTAAACTTAAGTATATAAAAAATATTTAATTTTTATTTTAAAAAGATTTATTGTCTTTTTAATATAATAAATGTGTTTTAATAAAAATATCAATATTTTTTAATTATTTAAAATATGGAAATTGATAATTTTTACAAATAATATAAAACTATTAGGATAATAAAAATAATGTTCTTATTAATATTATTTTTTAATTTAAAAATTTAAAATTAATAAAATAATTTAAATTAAAAAAATGAAAAATAGTTTTATGATAAACATTATTATTTTTAATAATGAAACACAACCATAAAATAAACAAAATGGATTTCGAAATAATAACCGACCCTAGTAAAGAAAGAGACGAGGTAAATAAAGGGTGATTGTGATAATCTAAAAACTGAGGGTTAACAGAATAGTAGGCATCATCGCCATGGGCTTCAATGTTCTGAGAACCACTTTTTCAATGCCCCTTTGTTCTTCCAAATCCATACCCATTATCTCAACTCATCCCACCATTTTCCCATCAAAGCCCAAGACTCACACTCTCCTCCTTTCTGCCTCATCCACTCACCACTCCAAACGTCCTTTTCACAGTGGAATTGTTGCCATGGCCGCATCTCGCTCTCTCCACAAATCCGACGAAGAGTGGCGTGCAATTCTCTCGCCTGAACAGTTTCGAATTCTCAGGCAAAAGGGCACCGAGTAACTCTCTTACTTAATAATTTAAGCTTCCAAACTGCTTCGCTGCTTTCAATTTTTTTGTTTTTGTATTTGGCCAAGTTTCTGCGATTGTTGATTTTCTTTGCCGTAATTTCCATTTATTTAATTTTAAAGAATAGAACGGAATCGTGAAAATATGGATTTTTTTTTCTCCCCTCAGTCATATAAAAGGAAGGTTTCATTTTGCGAATTCATTTTCTCCCTTCCTGTTACTGATGTACCGTTTAAACTATGTTATTGAGTAATGGCTGCAAATAAACCACACATAAGTGTGGTCTATACTTATTAACTGTTATGATCTGAGTGTTTTGAGATCCCTCGTTGACCGCAGATATAAATTATAAAGGCTTGGGCAATTCTTCGTAATTAGCTTTTAGGAATGAGTTAGTAGTTAGAGGCCATGTGTAATTTGTTGTTGTATCTTATTGGAGTACAAGTAGAAATAGTGTGTTTGGAATCACGTTCGAATAAATATGGGTTTACATTTACTTCAATGCTTTTGGTTGTAGTCTTTGTGTTGGATCCATGCTTATCGGCTTTTCAACGTGTTTTGAAATACACACTACATCCGGGTAGGCTACAAAGTAAACGCCTCTCGAGTGTGTTCATTTGCTTGTGTGGTTGCTGTAGAGACAGGCTGTGTTGGTTCTTTATTGTGATCACCCTCGCCAGATGTTCTTTTACTAATTTCCCATATGTGATTCTCGGCACTTTGAATGCTTAGAGATGTTCAGAGAAAAACTGAGGCGTGAAAATGGTGCACAGAGTGGATAAGTCTCCCAGGAATTTTGAGTCTGGTCAGAATTTTTGGGTGAAATGGTGGTTCTAGATTTTCTGAGCAATAAATTCACACAGTAGAGTTAGTTTGTGAACGTGAACTAATCATCAATGATGGTAATTAGTTTTAATCAAGATTGGAATTTTTGTTTCTGTTATAAGAAAATGGTTTGGTATTGTTCAGGTTCCCTGGAACAGGCGAGTATGACAAGTTCTTTGGTGAGGGAATTTACAACTGTGCAGGTTGTGGAACTCCTCTCTACAAGTCCATAACAAAATTTAATTCTGGTTGTGGTTGGCCAGCCTTCTATGAGGGTCTTCCCGGAGCCATAAATCGCAATGTAAGTTCACTTCTTCTTAGTTAAGACATTTGTTAAGGAATTAAAAAAAAATTTAATGAAAAGTATGATATTTAATATATTGGGACTTGGAAACATAAAAATCTTTGTTTTCTATTTGATACTTTTATTTTGAATCCTTAACAAGTATCTTAAAACATTGCTTAACATTAATCATATCTTAAATTATGTCAACAATTGAGTTTAAACAAAATTGATAACATTGTCATGTATCATCAGCCGGACCCTGATGGGATGAGGACAGAAATTACATGTGCTGCTTGTGGGGGACATCTTGGTCACGTGTTTAAAGGTGAAGGATTTCCAACACCCACTGACGAACGCCATTGTGTTAATAGTATTTCACTTAAATTTGCGCCAGCCAATTCTCACTGAAAATGAGCCTTCTGTATGGACATGGTTGCCTATGTACTTAACATTTAACATTCGTAAATAATTATGTAATGTACTTGTATTACGAATGAAGTTCATAGAATGATGGCTAAACAGTATTTTACTCAAATAAAAGAATGATGTTTGATCTGTACCCATAATACCTCTGTTCCATAATACCTCTGTTCCTCTCCTCTCTTGGTGCTACATTCTATTATGTTCTTTTGTGCTTGTATCCGCACTTGGGTATATTCGATGTGGGAAAGTTACAAACTAGAACTCTCAATAAAGGTTGTTGAATGGTTAAAATATAAAATATTTAATAGTAGAGAAAAACGACTTAAAGAAAGAAAGAAAAAACAGTAATCTACTTTTTTTTGTTCAAACAGCAATATACTGATTTGAGGATGTTTTGGTTATGCCTGCGTTTGACGTTCATAAAGCACTGGACTATGTGACACCTTGGATCAATGCCATCTAAAAAGAGTATAGTCCACATGGGGATACATATGGAATGTGCCATTACGTTTAGCTTCGCATGAAATGACACCTCTGTAATTTTGTCGCATGCCATCATCCTTTTATTCTATTCAATTTCAACGCATCTTTTATACACTTGCATGCATACACAAAAATATATCAAACTATACAATTTCATTATATCAAATTTAGAGACTAGATTTATCATCAACGGGACAGTGCTCACAAAGACATTTGTTTAAAATAATTTTAGATTAGATTACATAAATGGATATAATGTGATTAATTCACATTTAACTATGAAAAATGAATTATTTGACTTCATTTTAAACATGTAATATGATTAATTAACATATTATAAATATATCAATAAAGATTTCCTTAATTACCTTATTTTTCCTGGTTATCTTAGTGTCATTTAGGATACTTAGGAGATTACAAAAATATAAATTAAAACAAATAATTTAATTTTTGGAGGGAAAAAATATTTTGTAGGGGGGATACATGGCATGGAATATGTTTGCTGAAACCTAGTTTTACAGAATAGTAATATATTTAATTATATTAAATTTATGACACATATAACGCGATTGTATAATAATATGCAAATAAAAATTTTCTTTTTAGTATTATATGAACAAAAACTATCTTGTTATTGGTAATTGTCTTGAATCTCTTAGGGAATTTTAGTAAACTATAAATATGTAACTTAGTAAATTTTTTAAAATATTATATGATTTATAATTTTGGAATTAGAAAACAAGTGTAACAATAGTACATGAAATGGAACTTATTTACAACAAAAAAAAACCTTGTTTTATATAATAGTATTAGATTAGATAAAATCAAATCAGATTAATTTTTTTTAACATTTTATTTGTATTTAGAAGTACCCTGTGGAATGTTTCCCTTTTGATGTAAGTAATTAAGGTGAGCAACGACAACGACCACTGTGTTCGAGTCACTACCTTATTGCCCAAAGCTTTTAAGGTACCTACCATCTTGCTTGATATTTTTATTTCTTTCTTTTGTTGCTGGCCGCAAGTTTTTTTCCTATAATACTATGTCACTTCAATAGACATGTGTAGTCAAATTATTTTGAGCGAAAAAATATGTATTTTTTAAAAAAGTGATAATAATATTCTCTGACACACTTTTTGTAACACATCTTATTAACACATTTTATTATTGATTAAAATTTATTAAAAACTAAAAAAATTATATAGATTTCATTTCACTTTTATATTAATATTTTTCTCTTATATTTTTTAATTTTCAATAAATTTTAATCAAATAATAAAAAAAGTGTGTTAGAAGTTATGTTGCTAACCTTTTTCTTTTAAAAATACTCCATGCTTGTTCTAACATTTCCTTGAGTTGAAGGTGCGTGACCTTAGTCTTACCAAACAGAAGAATCATCGTTGTTCACATGTTATGTCTCGAATCTATAGAAATTCTATTTGCATGTTTTATTTAGATAACAAGCAAGTGCCGACACTATCAAGTGGTGTTAGACACAGGATAAGTTTGCAAACTTGTGTATTGGAAAGTTTCTTTGAAAACGAAGGAGCTTTCATTGTTCCATCATTATCTAGGTGGCAAGCATTCCATTTGTTTAAGATGTAGGCCATTGAATTGGGTACGGGTAAAGACAAGTACAACGCATGATGTTTTTGGTGCTCACGAAATCATCAATGACTTAGGATTGAACACACTCATACTTTCTTGGCTGTGACTGTCTAAATTGCCTCCATATTTAAGTTAATTAAAGTTAGTCCTGTAAGAATTTCTTGGTTTTTTACTTTATTATCTTTTTAAACACAATTTATGTTCTTGATATTGTCATAATTGTTAGTGTTATCACATAGTCTGCTGTATTAGTTTAGCAATTATTATATTGGTTTAACAAGTTCATATGGCGGAGGCATTCTGTAACGATTGTACAAGTGTGAGCATTGAGGGATGAGAAAGTTGCATGGCTTAATTTTAATTGATAGCTGAAAACTGTGGATCATGGATACTTTTGAAATGGGATTTACTATCCTATGAATTTGAGAGTAGTGCAGTTGTATGTATTGCAGAACATCTAGATTTTCAGTTATGACTTAAGAATCAGAATCTCTTTCCTAGCTCTTCCATGGCTCTCCCAATTGGGTGCATGGTTGTGACTTAAGAGGGAAAATTGAAGGATTTCTGGAATGAACAGAAACAATGATATGAATAGATTTGTTTCTAAAATGAATGCCTATAGACCCCGATATCTTGGGAAGCTTCAAGAATGTCATTTTATATATAATTCCTAGTCTCTCCCCGAAAACATACACCCCTTTCTCCAAATTTGTGCTCACATAGGAAAAGGGTATCTAATGCATTGGAGCTTGTACTTGCTAGGTTCAATAATTGCGAAGGGGGGCTTGGCTGACAATTTTTTTAACTATATGATTTATTTACCCTTATAATTTTTTTAATGTTCTTCTTTCTCATAGTTTAATTGCTTACATTATGATGCAATTTCACAGATTCCAATCTATGCCAGAGAAAAATATCTTGAGCATCTTTTAGATCTAAAGCAGGTGCAACAGATGCCATTTAGGAATATGCAGAGGTACTGACAATTTTCTCTCTTGTCCTTCTGTCCTGATGGTTGGAGCTTGCAAGTTGCAACAACCATGCACACTAGTTTACTGCTCTATGCTTCTGAAAGGTCTTGGCATGATGTTTGATCATGTAGTGCTGTTTAGTCAGAGCATTAGAGGTTCCATGGAGCTACAATTTCAAGAAGCAGTCAGCCACTCTGAATACGATGAATTAGATATGATGAAACCGCTGCAGGTAGCTGAAAATATTGATGTGTCTAGGCTTTAAGCTGAAATGTGGATTTTGCCAGAATTTAATACAATACTTAATCTACCAAAATCTATTTTAATTGTAGACACAATGGTTTCCTCCCTTGGACCTGCTTGGAATATAGCCATAGATTCTTCTTCTGGTTCTCTTTGAATATTATTGTTTTCAACATGTTTCTCTTGCGCACTATAAAAATGTCTTGGAAAGAAATTGGTGGGAAGGCCTTTCTTTTGTTTGGCAGTGATTATATATCCTTTGACATGATAACTTTTACTTGGGTGACTACATAAATTTCATTGGCTTCCAATGTTTTCCACATGGGTCAAGGATAATGTTTCCTTTTGAGAACTAGATTTCAAGCCAACATATTTCATATGATTCATATTTTCCTTTCTAAATTTCTTATCTCTTATAATTTTTATCACTGATATTTCCATAAAACTGGTACGAGAAGAAAAACTGATGTGTTAATATTGCAAGGTGAGAGTTGGTGACTTGACTGAGGCATGTGTACCTATGGCAGCAGCTTCACCAGCATCTGAATTATCAGGATTGAACCAGGCAGATCTAGTTTGGGTCCCTAGAATTCAGATGGAGTAAAACAACATTATGAGCTCAATCAAGCTGTGAATTTTGAAGGAAATGGTGTGTTATGTTGTAAAGGATCCATAGTTGGATTTCAAGATGCTCTAGGAGAGGATCTGGTGGACTCATCAATCCCTTGTCATGATGCCATTGAGGAATCCTCACAATTTTGGGTAGTGCTTGTACATTTCTTTCCATTACACTCCCCTCTAACCCAATAGCTTCACTTCCTTTGTTCGTTGCATATTCTATAGAAACATCTCAATTTAAAAAGAGCTTTTAGTCGTTTTTTCGCTTAAGCGAAAAAATTTGCTTAAACGAAAATGGGTTATTTTCGCTTAAAATTATGACAAAATGGCTTAAGCCAATTTTCATAAAACAAATGGCTTAAAAAAATAAAAATGGCTTAAGCGAAAAATAGCTTAAGCGAAAATAATAGGATTAAGTGAAAATAATAGGCTTAAGCGAAAAATGGACAGCGAGTTTTAATTTTCACTCAATTTTCTCTTCTCCTTTCCCCTAAACATAAGACTTTCTCCTCAACAATATTCTGGTACTCTACTGGTTATTACTTGCAACAGAACCAATATATACTCTTATACTTAGTTCTTCTCTTTCTCTCCTAACTTTCTTTTCCTTCAACCTCATACCTAACTCCTCTCTTCCTATTCTCATTCTCACATCACCAAATACCTATCTCTTTCTTTTTTCTCTATACTCAACTCTTCAATTTCCTCTTCTTCCATCGTCACTACTATATCATCCGCTCTCCTTGTCTACATCCATTCTTAATCATCTTTTTTCTCTACACTCAGCCTTCATATCTTCAAACACACAAAATTCACTTAAGATAAAATAATTCACTTAAGCGAATACACAATTCGCTTAAGCCAGAAAAATTAACTTAAGCTAATTTTATGTAAAAAAAATTTGGTAGTGGAGGAAGAAGAAAGTGAAGAGTTGATTGTAGAGAAAATAGAGGATTAAGAATGGATATAGACAAGGAGAGCGGGTGATATAGTAGTGACGGTGGAAGAAGAGGAAATTGAAGAGTTGAGTATAGAGAAAAAAAGGAGAGATAGGTATTTGGTAATGTGAGAATGAGAAGAGGAGGAGAGGAGTTAGGTATGAGGTTGAAGAGAGTTTGGAGGGTAAGAGAAGAGTTAAGTATAAGAGTGTTGGTTTATTTTCCTTCAAACACGGCAAGTATACTGGTTTTGTTGTAAGTAATAACCGGTAGAGTACCAGAATATTGTTGAGGAGAAAATGTTATGTTTAGGAGAAAAGAGAAGAGAAAATTGAGTGAAAATTAAAACTCTCTGTCCATTTTTCGCTTAAGCCATTTGTTTTATGAAAATTGACTTAAGTCATTTTTCCATGATTTTAAGCGAAAATAACCTATTTTCGTTTAAGCGAAAAAATGACTAGACGTCCAGTTTTCGCATGAACTGAAAAGAATCTGGATCCTTCTTTATAAGATTACACCATCACAATGTATACCAATTCCATTGATTGTCAATTTGTCATGCCCCTGATGAATTTGGATAATCAATCCATTTCCATTATATATATATATACACACACACAAGAAACTTTTATTTCTAATCTTCAATTTTCACCTTTATTTTGATTACTATTTTGTCCACTTCTTCATAATTTTCTGTCTCTTCAATTTTAACATATAAAGATAACATTACGTCATAATTATAATATAAAAATAACATTAAATCAATAATAAAAAAATATTTCTTTAAACGTAAGTTAAATGAATTTTTATTTAAATTTTTATGCAAGAGAAAAGATATTCTTTTAAATATATTTATTACATATATAATTTATTTATTTTTATATTTATAAATTAATTTTATGACTATTTTAAGAATTAAATATTAAATAATTATGAGTATACTTTCAATATATCAGTTATATAAATTTTTTTACACTATCAATTAATTAGAATATATAATAGATATAAAATTTAAAATAATGACTATAACAATCAATTATTTGTTAATATGATAATTTGCAACTAAATAACAATATAAAAAAATATTTATCTTATCAATAAATTTTAATTAAATATATTTTATAAAATTTTAAAAAATATATATTTCTATAATAAATACTTATTATAAATATTTATCCATAAATTAAAAATATTTTAAAAAATTAATTAACAATAAATTATATTTTTATAATAATTTTTATTATTAATTGTTATAAATAAAATTAATTCTCTATGCATTTGTACGGGCATGTGTGTGATTAATTATTTTCCGTTATTATGTTGTTAGTAATATTTGTTGGGGCATCAGCAAAGGGGTTCGTAAAAATATTGACAAATTGGGACTTTGCCATGTGGGCCCACTATAAGAAAATGTCTACATTTAAATAAATAAATAAATAAATAAATATATATATATATATATATATATATATATATATATATAACATAACTAATTTTTTATTTAATTTAAATTTAATAAATTATAATTTATTATTTTAAATTAAATAAAAAATTTAAATCAGTTATAAGAGTTTTTAGAGTTATATAAAATTTATATATATATATATATATATATATATATATATATATATTCAACATATTAATTATTATATTTTTTAAAATTTTCTCTAACTCTTTATTTGTAAAGAATGGAAGCAGGAGTTTAAGTTAAACCATGGCTAACAACAAAGAAGAAAAGAAGGGAGTGGATGGGGCATGGAATCCGAATCACAAAGTGGCATGATCCATATATTAGCACAATTATTAACGAAAAAAGTCAAAAGTTTTTTTGAAAAAGGAAAAGTTTAGACGAAGCAGAGATCCCAGACTCTTTTGTGCTTACTTTGTCTGCCGGCAAATGCAAATCCAATTTAACATAAAAACTACGAAAAAGAAGGAATTGTTTCACAGTTTGGTAAAAAGTTAGGAGAGGAAAAAAAGGTGAAGAAGGGGGAAAACAATTCTTATACATCAGTTAAATGAGTTAATGGCTGTGAAGTAGGTGACAGAAAATGAGAAAAAAGAAAAGAAAAAAAAGAGGTAATGAATGATAAGATAAAAAAGAAGAAATATATATACGTAAGAAAAAGTGAATATTAAAATAATACTGGTTGGCCAAGATTGAAAGGGAAAGATCTCCCCCAACGAAATTCAGTGAAGTTAACTAACTACCATTCAAAAACATTCAATTTTAGTACAAGTGTTGTGTAGCATGTAGGTGTCGGAGTTAGTCTATTGAGATGGCACAAGAAATAGAAAACTACCCACAAGTCAAGCCAAAGCCTTCCCCACAGTTAATGCCTTCTCACTCTGTGGAGCTACGAATCGCCACCATGATTCCCACAACTTCATGGTTTACACCCAAGAGGTAATGTAATGCACCTTTTCTGTTTCCGTTCCCACCTCCAAGATCCGTGCTTGGTAAGTAAAGGAGAGAAACATTTAAACCAATTCTGGGTCTTTTTGAATTTTCATTTTTTGGTTGGTGGGTGAAAGCAAGTCGATGTTCTTACGAAGTGTTTGGTGGTTTTTGGCCCTGTGATTACTTAATCCTTGTGTCTTGTTTGGTAGGCTACTTGCCATATTTTGTGTGATTAACTTGTTAAACTATGTGGATCGAGGAGCCATAGCAAGCAATGGTGTTAATGGAAGTAGGGGAACATGCACTGACGGTGGTACCTGCACTTCTGGTACTGGAATACAGTAAGATATACTCAGGATCATTTCTCTCACCTCTTGGCATTTAATTTTCCATACACTGATTTTAAACTGTTTGCTTTATTCCAATTTTTAGGAGGGGTTTTGCCAGTGTTTTCCATTTTAAAGCTAGAGATTCTCATATTGTACAATTGATATAATAGCTGAAAAGGGCAGGGAGAAATGAAACCCAAAAAGAGGGGTTGGGCAGATGGAAAAAGCATTTCTTTGGTCACTTTTTATTTTCTGTGATTAAAGTGGGATGATTGCTTATTAATTCAATGAATTTTAAAAAGGAGCCAGTAAATTATTCCTGCGTATGAAACTCCAAAAAGGCAAAAGAAGTAAGCTAATTGGAACAGGAAACCAAGATTTTATCGTATGTACTAACAGGCAGTTCTCATGTAATAGGAAATCTGAGTTACTGCTTAGGATAAATCATAATTATTGATTATATTTTGCATGTATTTCCTTGGCCACCGTCGAACAACAACTGACACGAAAAACTCAATGCCTGTGGTCAAATTTAAAAATTGTCTCTAATCTTGATCCATATTCTTGTTATATTCAGCAACAACATGCTTAATATAGCTGTCAAAGGTTTTGAATCATTAGTGCATGAGTAACCAAATTATCGAACCTAAATTTTCAAAGTTACATCTTTGGTTTTACATGCTCCCTTCCTCTTTCAGAGTGAGAAATCAAGAAAAGGGGGTATTATCATGGCTTTAAAATGTGGTTTTCCTTAAAAAGATGAATAAGAAATGAAAGCAATCTAAATTGAAAAGGCATTCATGCATGATATCCTTAAATTATTGCAATAAGAAGAGAAAGAAACCGGGGCTCTTGCATGTTGAAGCCTAGTTTTTGCCCTATTGTTATGCATGCTTGTCAAAATGGAGAAACATAAAGCCAGCAAGATGTAGAATTTAATTATAGTCCAAGATAATTTGTTGCCTGTATAGGCTACTCCATGTGTTATATGTCATGACATTAATAATGTAATGTGCAGAAGTAAATTTTCAGCCATTTAGACAAAATATTTTTCTCCTTTTTCGTAGGGGGGATTTTAACCTGAATAATTTTGAAGATGGAGTTTTATCATCTGCTTTTATGGTTGGACTTCTTGTGGCTTCTCCAATATTTGCCTCTCTTGCAAAGAGGTAATAACTGTCTTAGTTGTAATTAGTTGACACCTATTCTTACTGTCAGTGCTGTACTTTGTATCTTAAATATTCAACTTATTAATGTTTCAGAAGATGAATTGTAAATGAGGAAACTTCTGAAAGCTGAACAGGCTTTAAAACCATTGCACATCAATTATATTGAATTTCAAAGTGTCCTTGATGTATCTTTGTAGCTAGGACTTCTAGATTTTCAAATCAATGAGACCAGGTATCTAAAATACTTTGCAGCATATATTGTAATTAAAGTTGGATACTTGGATTATCAATTTGTTTGAAGTCTATTAAACTGAACATCTTATGTATTACAGACATAGGCCTAGTTCAGATTAACTTTTTAACAAGTATTTATAAAAGACAAAAATCAAGAAGAAAAATATATCAAACTTCTCTTATAGGTTAAAATTAACTTATGTTCCTCTACCTTTTTAGAAACTCTCTCATTTAACTTCTCCAAAATATGAGGTGTACAAGTTAACTTTAACTTGTGAGAAGACTTTTATTTATTTTATTATCTTATTTTCTTCTTCTATAAGTGCTTTTACAGAACTATACCCAAACTGTGCCATAATAATAATAATAAAAAGAATTACTGACCTATTATGCCTTGTACATGTACCACATATGGTGGTTGTGATTTAAAATTGCTATCATTAACTTACATAGTGATCGCAACTTTATATTTTGCAGTGTAAATCCATTTAGACTTATAGGAGTTGGATTGTCAGTTTGGAGTCTTGCAACTCTATGCTGTGGTTTTGCTTTTGATTTCTGGACCATTTCAATCTGTCGCATGTAAGTGGTCTGATTCCCTTATTTTTCTAGTTATGCAATTTTAATTGAGTTGTTAAGTAGTAATGATTTGCTTTTTTAATTCGTATGCTTTCAATATTCCGTATAGGCTAGTTGGTGTTGGTGAGGCTTCATTTATAAGTCTTGCAGCACCTTTTATTGATGACAATGCCCCAGTTTCTCAGGTTTGTTTCTTTCCCCTGGAAGCTTCTCCTGCTTTCAGATTTGAAGAATGTCTGTTCTCTATTACTCTGTTATGCTCACTTCACTATCAAGTTCTCGCATATTGCTTAGTTGTTAAACTATGAAGCAATGATTTTTATGGAAGTTTCGGTGGGTTAAAGCTCAATCAGCATGTATGCTGTGAATATATGCTATCTGCTGAGGGATGATAAACAATTACTTTGTGTAGTAGAATGTTGGTGTTTTGGCTTTTAGGAAAAAACCATCATTAAATTACTAGGGTCAAGAACTTTATGAAGCTTGATAAGCGGCATCATAACTGAAATGAAAATAACACTATGCTCCAATGTGTTGGGAACCTTAAAAATTAGTAGTGTTTACTGATCAAACTGACTTTAACAGTTTTACTGATATTTAATGCTATTAAGCATTTGTAAAGAATATTAGCTCTAATCAGTAGTCACTTGATCAGCCCAAGTTGTACTAGGTTTGATTCATTTCAATGTTTTATATAATCTTTTAAAACTTGATGACATCCTCGGTATTCTTCTTGGTGGTTGGAATGGCATTTGTAATACTTGATTGCCATTTTTGTTTTCCTGGTGGAAACCTCTGTCTCACATTGGTGTATGTACCAGAAAACAGCATGGCTTGCAATATTTTACATGTGTATACCATCAGGATATGCGCTTGGCTATGTCTACGGGGGTTTGGTAAGTCTTTATCTGGTTTTTGTACCACTATTAAATACTGAATGAAACACCCATGGTTAGCAAAAATATATAACTCTTAATTTAAATATTGGATGATGACAGCATACTTCTGTTTTTAAATTTTTAAAAAATTAAGTGAAAATTAAAATTTGACTTTAAAAATTGTAAATGATAAAGAATTTTAAAAGTGATTTTCTTAAAAATAGGAAGTGGATTTATAATTAATATGGAATGACAATTTTCCTTCCAATTATAATAAATAGAAACAACCAGTCAATATTTCGCTTCTTTTATGCTTTTATAGAAATAAAATAAATTTTCCTCCTCTCATTTCATCCTTTGTTTGTTTACAGGTTGGAAGTCATTTTGGTTGGCGTTATGCATTCTGGGTAGAGTCTTTATTGATGCTTCCATTTGCCATTTCAGGGTTTTTTATGAAGCCTCTGCAGTTGAAAGGTGCACATTTGTCTTGCATTGATTTCTTGAGAACTCCTATTACTGGTTATTCATCTCTAAACTACTAGTGGATCCAGGTTTAGTTCCTGCTGATTCAAAAAAGGCACTGGCACCTGAGACAGTTGTGTCAGAAGTTCAAGGTACACTAGGAGTTATGCATTATCTAAACACATCTCCATTTTTAAAATACCATACCTTCATCTAATTCTTTTGATCAAGAACAAATTCCAGTGTTTACTATAGGCGTTCTTTTTTTGTATATTCATTGGCAATTTCATAGATTCAAATGTATGCTACTCATTTCTCACCTACTATATTGCAATGTACTGAAAATTTAGGTTTCCATTTTGTTGACTGCTTAATAATTTCTAATTTACAATCTCTCTTTATTAGCCTAAAAAAAATTCACTGGTTTGATTGAAAATTATAGCTGCTTCAAATGGAAAAGATGAATCGCTGTTCTTAAAGGCAGAACTCAGAGATAAAAGCTCAAATGACCATTCCAAGTGAGAACACTTGCTCTGATTCAGAAAACACCTTCTGAGTTAATTATTTTTTTCATTATTGATTTTTTTCACTGTCTAACAAGTGACAACCATCACTTATTGGCTGATATATACAAAATTCCATCTGATTGATTCTTATTTTAGGTCAAAATCCGCAACCAAAATATTTGATCAGTTCTCAAGATTTTTGAATGATATGAAAGCACTTTTGCTTGATAAGGTTTATGTTGTCAATGTTCTAGGTACTTCTTTCTCCCACTAACTACTGTATGCATCAACAGCTTTTATAATATTTCCTTATTTTGTTGGTAATTTGTGCCAGAGGCTGGTATATGGATAGCTTTCATCCCTTTGATTTTCATATCTTAATATCCTACATGTATTTTCATAACTTGTATATCTATTTGCAGGTTACATTGCATACAACTTTGTCATAGGTGCCTACTCGTATTGGGGGCCCAAAGCTGGCTATAATATATATCACATGGTGAGATTTTGCTTTATCCAATGACCCCTTTTGCATATGATTATAGTTTCATTGTTGTTCCTTCTTTCTTATTTATATTGTTTATTGCATGGAATAAAACATACCCGGTAAGATACATTCCATGCAAGATATAATATTATTGTGCAATATTAAGGTTGGATTACTTTGGTAGACTAATGCAGATTTGATATTTGGAGGAATTACAATTGTATGTGGAATAGTGGGAACTTTAGCTGGAGGCTTTGTTCTGGATTTTATGACCAACACCTTATCAAATGCATTTAAGGTTGGTATCCGAATCCTGACAAGGGTTTAATTTTACGTTGAAAGAAGTGTTTTATAAGATTGAGACTCTGGATTGGCCTCGTAATATTGAATAGACCCACTTAAAATGTAACTGTACATCGATTGGATTGCTCTAATGAGCTATTAAATGAAAACTTGTAAACCACATTTGGTGACACTGCGGTGCGTGTGTATATCAGAGCACGTCATTTACATTCCATTGTTCTGCCCTACTAAACTAAATACACTAATTCTTTTGCAGCTTCTATCAACAACGACATTTATTGGTGCAGCATTTTGTTTTGGTGCCTTCTTATTCAGAAGCATGTATGGCTTCCTTGCTCTTTTCTCCATTGGTGAACTTCTTGTTTTTGCCACTCAGGTACTTTCCCTCTACCGCTCTACGTGAGGAGAATCTCTTCACATTTAATTGTTATATCGAAACACTACCCCTTTCTACATGCTTATCAGCTACCATCTTAGAATGTTTAAGCAGACTGAGTTTTCTTCTGTAAGCTAAGCTTTTGATCTCGATGCTCCCAAGTTAAATTCTTGATGAATAACAATGTGTTTGTAAGTAAAATCACCTCTACATTTGGGAAATTAAAACTTGCTCTCTGAGAACTAAACCTTGTCATATGGCAGGTTGTCTTTTGAATTCTAAGCTTGTTCAGTTCTGCTTGTTTCAGGGGCCAATGCTTTTTGTCCCGTTTTTTTAATCTATCAGTATGCACTATGCAGAGTACATCCCTGCTTCTTAATATCAATTTGACTGAATATGGAGGATAATCTTTTAGAGTTAATAGCTGCTGAGTTTGTATATCGTACCTAGCTTAGAACATTACTGAATTCTGTATCTTATATATGAGCTTCAATGGAATGTGATCATTAGAATTCATCAAAATTATTTCTCCTTAGAAAACATTTTGTAACCTGATCTGAAGTCAGAAATTTTGCTCTAGATGTTTGCTTGCGATTTTCTTTTCAGGGTCCTGTGAATTACATATGTCTCCGTTGCGTTAAACCAAGTTTGAGGCCTCTATCCATGGCTATGTCTACAGTTGCTATTCATGTCTTTGGAGATGTACCTTCCTCACCTCTTGTTGGAGTTCTTCAGGTCAGCATTTTATAGTTTTATTTGTTTAATAACTTGTAGCAGCATTATATGATATACAAGATTCTAATGGTTTGTTCATACATTATGGTAACACAGGATAACATAAATAACTGGAGAACGACAGCATTGATTCTAACATCCATATTGTTCCTAGCAGCTGGAATATGGTTAATCGGTAAGTTATCATCATGGCAATTCCTTTACTTACTACAAAGTACAAAGAATCCTCTTTAGTAATTCTTTTGACATATCATAATTGCAAGAGCAAGGATATTTAATATTGAAAAATGCTAAAACAAAAACACGTTAGGACCTTAACATTGTTCAAGATATAGTTTTCTTTTTGTCAGCACATATAGTATTTAAATATATACAATCATAATAAAAAATCATGAATGTCTTAATACATGGAAATGTTCGAAAAATTTCTTGAACGTGTGTTCTCTGATTCATGTACTTGTCAGGAATATTTTTGCATAGTGTGGATAGATATGATGAAGACAGTGAGCATCAGGTATCAAATGTAGAGAGGTCAAACACCATGCCGTTGCTTCTAGAAAAGACTGGAGAAACATCTGCATCTTCTGCCCAACCGCAGTCCCCCTGAATGTTGATTTTGTGGTTTATATATGCCTGTCCAAGCACAAATTATGTCGCACAGTCACAATCCCTATGATGTTAATATGTTTCTTTCTTTTCTTATTTTTTGTACATTTATTATGTGTATAAGCATCAATTTGCTCTTGGTTATAATGGAAATTATTTAGCAAGTGTATTTCAGTTTTATGCTTCACCATCCGCATAACGTCCCTTGAATGTTTGAACGTATGGTTGGAAATCATGCTATTTTAAGCATAACGTATCCAATTAAAAATCATGTTGTAATTGGTCGCAATTCTATGTTATAGTCAGTAGCTCCTGGTTGGAAATTATTGTGAACTGTTAAAAAGATTGGCTCATTTAAAAAATATATATATATATTAAGAAAGTTACAAAAATATTTCGCCAAATCATGATTTTTAGACTTACACTAAAAGTCGTCTAACTTTTAAATTCTATATTTTTGTAATTTTCAAAAAAACATCATACTTCAATATAAAAATTTCTAAATACCATAAAATAATAACATCAAAGAATTTCTGCTAGATAACTACCAGAAAAAGATACCAATATTTTGCGAGAAACAGCGCCTACTTAAAATTATTTTATAACTAAAAAGATCCTACCAGGAAGCTATCGTCATATAAATTAAACGTAACGCCGATTATTTATAAAGAAAAAACAAAAAACTAAATTTCACTGTCATGCAGGTCCCTTCCTTACGGAAAGTGACCTTCCAAAAACTATCGTATGCCACTTAATGCAGCGAGCACACGGTATTCTTTAGTAAAAGGCGAAAGAATAGTTCGCTCTGTGCTCACTGCGTGGCTCCGTGCCTACCTACGAACGAGTCTTGACTTTTTATATTGTAGCAATAGTTGGCTCTTTCTTCTATCCGTCGATGTGGGACTAATTATTCCCACCGTACTTCATTTTAGTGGTTGACTACTTGATGGTTCATTACAATGCCACACTAAAAGAACACGATGTTATTCAATAAAATAACGTGCATACTGCTGAAACTACTGTCCTCAATTTTTACTTTTATTAGAGAAGACAAGCACTCAAAGTATTCTGTTTCTTCAACTCATCTGAACTAATTGGCTTTAGGCCTCTTGGAGTATCTTGTATCTTGCTAGTTCTCAAGCTCCATTGAGATAACGTGTAATATTTTATGACCACGAAGCTTACAAGTCATAGGTTTAACAATTTTTTTGAAAAATGGTAGACGTTCTCCATGACGAAATCGTCGAGATAGGCTTCATTATGAAATAGGCACGTGCAAAGACTCTTCAAAATATCATGCCCTTTCATTTTGATCTAACGGGTTTATATTATGAAGTAAATGCTTATATCTGTTTGCTACTTATTTATTTATAGAAGATTGGTTTTCTTATTTCTTTCAATACCTCTCATCCAAGCACAGCTTATTTAGCTGAACGATAGCTAACGCAGTGTAAACAAATTTCTTTTGTAGTACATACAAAACGTCCTCTATATTTCTAGAATCAAATTACTATCAGCTATCCTTTTATGCCTTTTGCTAAACCAGTAAACCCTCCATTTATATATAGGAAGTTATGATCCTGTAGGTTGTTCTATAAGAAGCTTTTGGCAATTGCTTCTTGTTTGTGGCCGTGCTCAGTTGCTGAAAGTTGGTGAACTTGGAGCTTAGTGAACTTCACTAACTTCACAATTACTCAAAAACATCATTATGCATAATTGTTGTACCATTCATAGAATCAAAAACCTCGTAGCTGCTACCTAGACAGTGAAGTTGGTTAGCTTCGAGGCAGCACTGTAATTGTGTTGATGGAATGGATAAGGTGCCGATGATCACCTTAAGCTTTGGCCTTCGGGGGTTTTCTCCATCTTTATAGCTTCTTGCGGCTGCCATGAAAGTGTCCTTTATTAGTAGTTAGTTCTTTTCTTGTAATCTTGCGTCTTCAAATGCACCAAACAATAAACAAGAACTATGAAGAGATAATTCACCAATAGAGGAAATAAACATTCAGTGTCAAAGACATAGCTTCTCAAAACTCAACTCATACAAATATGCAGGCCATCCCTTCTAACATTTCTTATCACAAGATTTTCTTTGAAGTTAAATTTCTTTATAACTTAATATAGGATTTGATAGGCATTGTTATTGAACCATTGCCAAAGCAACCCTCCTTTTTCTGTCTTTTTATATACATGAAGCAACGTTTAGGGCTCCTCAATGGCGTCGACTCCATCCAATCATGAACAGCCAACACCAAAATATGTCGTCCAACATATCCATCTTGTGCAACTTGCACGAGGTCATAAGCCTCTGAAGTCAGAACCAAAATGATTTATGGCAGATAGCAGAGACCTCATTTCCAAAGCATTTTCAGAAAACAATCAACGTACATAGTTAAATTCTACTACAACCAAAAGAGGCCAACTTGAGAACTACACTGTGAACACCACTAATTATAAACTAAAATGTTTAAACTACTTGAAATAAACGTAGCACCTGAACTATCTAATACCAGAAATAATTTTAATTTCTCCAAATTATAATTCCTATCCTCCTTAACTATCTTAAGAGTCAACTACAAACAATAGGCACCTGAAAATTCAATCACACAGTAGTAGCCATCAGCAGCTTAGCGCGGATATTTTTACCCTACGAATAGTAGGGACCTTCCATAGGAAAGTCAACCTCCAAAAATAATCGTATGCCACATATAGAGGAGAGCACACTGTATTCTTTAGTAAAAGGCGAAAGAATAGTTCGCTCTGTTCCCACCTCGTGGCTCCGTACCTTTGACTGCGATAAACCTAGTGATATATATTGCAGCTAGGCCGGAGCTTCCCTTTTTTGTACAATGTGGGACTCGTTGGTGGTGCTTCGCTCACATGCATATCTGATACAGATATACGAACACCCAAAATAGGGATGTTATTCCATGATGGATACTATTAAAATTATGGTTCGAACTTTTATTTTCACTTTGAAAAGATTACCACACAAAATAATATGTATTTTTCTATACTCTTATGAACTGATCAACCTATGTTTCTTCCAAGTTTTAAGAATAATTTTTAAGTAAGTACAAACTTAACAGTTCAGTTTTAGATACAATCAATTAAAGAATTTCAATTCGTTTAAAAATAAAAAATAAAAAATTAACACCCTGGAAAATTTTTAAAAGATACATTATGAATTTAGGATTTAATATCAATTTTTTCTTCTCTCTTTAGCTAATTTTGTTACATTTTTCTATTCTTATTTAGAAGAGTGTTACTAACGGACTCTCTCTGCACAAATATTTTGCTTGTGTAGCCAAGAAGCAAAAAAGCAGCGCCAGCGGTGCTAAAGCCCTACCTGAACATATGTCGCATCATGCTATATAAAATGCACCTTCCTCTTGAAGATACCCCAAACCCTGGGCAGCATGATTATCGGTATAAATCATGAAAATACAAAACCAGTATCAAGCAACAAACATGATATAAGCGAGAATGTCATAAGCCTTGTGACTTGCTTCAGCATCTATGAAATGTTATAAGTTCATTACAAAAATGGTTTCGCTAAACTTAATCTGGCTAAATTTAAGCGTATAATTATTTTTTTAAAAAAGACTATTAGTTACATTAAAAATAGTATATTTTTATCTAAATTCAACTCTCAAAACTAAAGTCAACAAAATCGATCTTTATCAAAAAATAATAAGTCAACGAAACCGATAATAATATGCGATTAAGTTTATCATTCATTCGTATTCAGATTCATCACACAAACGCCGAATGCCAGCAGTTTTAACTTATCATTGCCGGTTGAGTGCTTCAATTTGTGACTTACAATATTATAGTAATATTTTTTTAAGTGCTTGTTTAAAAGCAAGTTATTTTAAGAAATAATTGCTTATAAGATGAAGCAAAGATATTCGAGTTGTATTCAAGATTTTTCTCATTAGAATGAAATATGAATAAAGAAAGCCCAAATAAAATGCACAATACATAAGCAATATGGATATATTGAACTACCGCCTGGCCAAATGGGCATTATGTCAAAGAGATAACCGGAAAGCTCAATAGAAGAATGTGCTACGTCATAAATAGAATTGTAGAAAATTCAAGCAGTGGCATGAACATAAACCCCGCCAATACATCTACACAAGTGATAACTCTCCTGCAGGAATGGATCTCTTGATAAGTTTATTCCATGACTCATTGGTCTCTGTGATGACCTTCAGCGCATAATCCTGTTCACCAAATGTAAGTTTAAGAGTTAAGAGAAAATAAGCCAAGCCAAAATGAGGCTAAACACATTACTACCGATAATGATGACAAATGCCTCGCTTTTATCTTTCTTATTATCAGTTTATTTTATGGAAATTTTCAGCCAAGTTCAAGAATCATACTCAGTAATCATACACAAAGAAGAATACATTATATCACTTGTAATCCTAAAACACTCTCCATTCTAATGGTAATCAAGGCAACCAACTTCTTCTGGAGAAAAATGGTCAACAGAAACAGAACACCGCCAGAAACACAATTTCTTTTAGTAACCAATAAATCCTTTAAAAGAAGATGTAAAGTGCTAAACTAAGTCCTGAAGTATAAAAACACTAACGAATTAGGATACTTGCATCAAGAGATTCATGCAGCAAAAGTACCTTATTTGCTGCTTGGTTCCCAAGTCCAAATTTATTAGCAGGCTTTCCATCGGGTATCTTGTAGTCTCTGAACCAGTCCCTAATTGCAGTTAGAGTTCCCTGAAGACAACCAAAGATTATATATGACACACAAGTTGCAGATCATTACACCGACTGAGCATCACATCTAGCAAGAATGATTCCATCTTAAATTAAAAAACTTCGACACAGATTGCTTATGACTAAGGAGAAACTCATAACATCTTGTCCTCATAACCTAATCAGATAAAATCCCTGAAATCTACCGTAAAATCAATACTGTACAAATTGACTCATCACAGTCTCGTTAATCATTTTTCCAGCAATAGTGAATAAGTTGACTGTCCTAAGTAGGTAGCATGGATCAGACACTAAATAAATGTAAACAAATAAAAAGAAGAGAAGAGACTTAGGAGTTGTTTGAGAAGGAAGATTTTGGAAAGAAGGGAAGTGGAGGGGAGGACAAAATTTCGATTTTAAATTAATATTTTTTTTCAAAATAAAAGATATAAAATGATTGATTAACATAAATTTAATGTATTAATCATGTATTTATCATTATAAATGATATATAATTCTCTTAATTTAAAAATATGTCCTTCCCTTTCCTCTCTTTCAAAAACTCTCTCCCAAACAAGCCCTTAGAAAATAAAAGATCAGCTAGATAGGAAATAGATCTTACAGGGAAATGCTTCTCAACATCATTAACATCATTCACAAGTGAAGCCTTCGGATCATCTAATGAAATTGCTACTATTTTCCAATCAAGTTCTCCTTCATCGATCATGGCTAATGCACCCAAGGGTTTGACCTTGAGAACCTCACCTATTTTCCTCCTGGTTTCGCCAATCTCAACCACATCAACTACAGATTAACAAAAATTTTAGACACATTTCAAAGATAAAATTGTGGAAAAGATGGGATTCTACAATCATTACTAATGATAACCTGGATCATTATCTCCCAATGCTCCTTCAACTTCAGAGTTTGCAAAAGATGGATCTTCCCATGTTTGAGGAAGTAATCCATAGTTCCAATGTATGTTATAGCTGAAGAACAAGCAATAGTTGTATTTTAGAATACACTAACTGTGGAACCAAATCTATCTAGCTACATTAACAAATGAGAGGTTTCAAAAAACACAAAAAGAACCCAAAGAACTGATAAATGAGATGCACAAAATGCAACAGGTGTGATAGGTAAATAACATAAAGATGGCATCATGGAAGGAAGGTAATTATCAAAGGTCAGCAAAGGGTATTGAAGCTCCCAGGTAGATTTATGGTTCTAAATAGACATCAGTGCACAAGAAATACAATAGGACATTTAAATTGACAATATACCATTGATAAAGATAAACTCTTGGTTTTTGATTGGCAAAATAGATTGATGTTAAAAGCATATGGCCAAAAACAAATAATAGAATAAAAGCAAGGAACAGCATGAGCTTTGAAGTTGTATCTCACGGATAGTATCGAAGCTTCCCCTTTTTTATATCCTGTTTTATGGGAGTGAAAGGCTCATCAGTGGCAACCTCCATCTTGGCACTGGATTCTTTAGGAATTTCAACAATGAAGCTGAATACATCATCACCTAACCGCAATGGAATATCATGCCAGGGTGAAACCTGCATATTTAACAAATTACTTTTACTAGGTACAACTCTGCAGGTAGCCCACAGAGCAGGAAACTCATTTCACAACATTTTTTTTTAACTTTCCTTGATGAAAAAGCCAATATCTTTTTGTATCCTGGGTCTTATTATGTAACCACACAGTTTCTAGCTTACAAAATATTAAGCAAATCTAACTCCTGACTCCTCAGACAAGAATGTAACAAGCAAAAAGTAACAGCTCACTTGGCACCTGCCTTTATAATATAACAAAAAGGGAAAACACACGCACATATAAACACACACAGAACAGAACATCCCAATCAGCTGGAGAACTTTGAAGTATAACAATATTTGTAAACATGACCATTTTTTCTCAGTTAACTCCAACATTCAAGAATTCAATTACTTACAATATTTCCATCAAGCAAATACTCAGGAACCGAAAATCAAACTTTTTCAATTCCGCATTTTGATTAATCAAGAGGCCACACACCATCCTCTTTCCGTTGCAATGATACAAAAAGGACGAAACATTGAAGGCCCAAAATCGCATTTTTATGGTTGAAAGCAAAACCAATCAACACAGAGACTCAAAAATATATCCCAAAATTTCGATGCCCGTTTAATAAAAATGAAAAGGTTACCTTCTTGCCAGATTTGTCAACAAAGAAAACTCTGTAATCGAGGGTTTCTGGTTGACCTTCTTCCTTGACCACAACTTGAGGGTTATAGATAGCCCTGCAAGTGTAAGACCTCCTAGTCCTAGAGAACTTGAGGTTGTTGAAGCAAAGAGAAGTCGCACCCACAAAGGGCTTCTTTGTAATCAGAGAGCAAGTCGTGTTGCTGGCTATGGCTATCGCTCTCGTGGCCGCCATGGATGCTTCTTTCTGTTTTTTCACTCAGACAGTGTGTGCCTCTTTTTGCTGATAGGCTTCTCTCGCTCTTTGTGGCAGGGTCACTGTTGGGCTTTTTTTGTTTTTATTCGGTGTTACTACTTATTAGTAATCAGCGTCCTAAAAGAAATTAATAAATAAAAAATTATACGAATTAATATTTTAAAAATTAATGAGTACAACAGTTTTAAAAATATTGTGATAACATGTTTAATTTCTTAGTATTTACCCTTTTCTGGTTTAAATATTTGACCAATGAGGTGCATCATACTCTTACTGGATGGATGTCCATTACTAGTGGTGTTCACGGGTCAGTTTGGTTCGGGTTTAGGAGAAAAAAAAATCCGAACCAATCAAAAATTGATTGGTTTGGTTTGGTTTGGATTTGTAAAAAATAATTGAAAATCCGAACCAAACCGAACCAAACACGAACGGGTTGGTTCGATTTGGATCATCGGGTTGTCCGATTAAATAAACTAAAATAAAATATGTATAAAAAAAATAGAAAAATATCAATATTTTTCATTTGAATAATTTTTTACACATAAATTTAACACAATTACACAACATTCTAATACAAATATATAAATTCAAAATAAGTCTCAATCAAAACAAAAAAATTAAATTCAAGAAGTGGATATATTGGGTTGAACTTGAACATCTGTAAATGCTTCAGCCTCAGCCATCTTTGAAGCCAAAATAATTCAAACAGAAACATAAAAAGGGGAAAAAAATTAGTTCAAAACGAAATAAATATAGAACTTTGAAGATATAGATTAAAAAATTAACAAGTTCAATACCTTCTCCAAGCATCGTAAGTTGATCCATTTCAGCTTGTAAATCAACCTTCTTGCTAGCTTTTATCCAATTTTGGGTACAAATTAAAGCTTCAACAGTTGTGGGACTTAAACAACTACGAAATGGGTCAAGAACTCGACCTCCTGTGCTAAATGTTGACTTAGAGGATACAGTAGACACTAGAATAGCTAATACATCTCTAGCCATATGAGAAAGAACATAATATTTTGTTGAAGACTTTGATTTCCACCATTGCAAAATATCAAATCCAGGAGCATTGTCTTCAACATCATCCTCCAAGTACCTTTCTATCTCATTCCTTTTCACTTGACCTTGCTTTTTTTTCACATTCATTCTAAATTCATCCTCCCATGCATCATCATCATCATCATTACCATCATTGCTAATATCAAGATTAGACTGAGAGGCAATACTACTAGATTCATCAATAGGATACTGTGTCATATAAAGTTCAACCAATTTATTGATGAGGTCCTTCAACTTTTTCATCAATTCATTGCATTTTTCTACACCATACATCCGCTTAAAACAAAACTCAAGGTACTCAAGCTTATAGCGAGGATCAAGGAAAACAGCCACAAATAGGAGATAATTTATAGTGTCATTCTCCCAATACTTGCTAAACTTGACTTGCATATTTTTGGTTTGTAATACAATATCATTACTTTGCCTCCACTTATTCAATATTTTTTTAATATCTTTCAACTTATGGAAGAAAGTATTAGATGTAACATGCAATGATCCAGAAAAGGAAAGAGTTGCATCAAAGAAAATTTTCAGAAACTTCACAAACATGCGTGCACGAGTCCAATCATCGCTATTAGGACACCCCCTTTCACTCTCAAGATTTATTAAATAGGCAGGATCATCATACTCAAGACGACTAAATGCTTTCTCATATTTTTCAGCAACTTCTAACATTAAATAAGTGGAGTTCCACCTAGTGGGACAATCAACAATTAACAATGCTTGACTAGGTATATTTGCCTCTTGAGCACACCTTTTAAAAGTGGCCAATCTAAGCTGAGATCCCTTAACAAACTTACATGCAGCTCTAATTCTAGCAATTGAGATATCAATTTCCTTCAAACCATCACCAACAATTAAGTTCAAAATATAGGCACAACATCTCATATGCATGTACTCTCCATTTAATAAAGTTCTACCATTCCAATCACTCATGCCCTTAATTAAATATGAAATAGCCAAGTTGTTAGCACTTGCATTATCAACAGTTATACAACAAATCTTTGAAATCCCCCAATCTTTCAAGCATTTCTCTAGGTATTTACCTATGGTGTCACCTTTGTGGTCAGTAATCAACCCAAAGCTTAATATCCTTTTATTCAATTCCCACCCAGCATCAATATAATGAGCAGTCACACAAATATAATTCATGTTTTGAATTGAAGTCCAACAATCAGTCATAAGTGAAACCATTTGATCATTTTTAGACAATATAGCTTTCAACTTCTCCTTTTCTGATTCAAACAGTAGCATGCACTCTCTAGCAATAGTTTGTCGAGAAGGAATTTTGAATCTCAGTTGAGCCTCAAGCATAAATTTTCTAAATCCGAGACCCTCAACAAACTTAAAAGGTTGCTCATCCATAATTATCATCCTAACAAGTGCTGCCCGGGTTCGATCTTGATTAAAATCAACAAGTTTAAAACTAACAGTAGAGGCATCCTCACTCTCCTTTCTAAGTGCAAGTGTTTTTTGTCTCTTATCAACTATCCTATTTGGGTTTTTCGGACAACACAAAACATGCTTATTCAAGTTTGTGGTTCCATGGGTAGAACTATTAGATGCATATAACTTTTGGCAATAGTTACAAATAGCCTTGTCATTTTGTCTAGTGAAATGTTCCCAAGCATTGGATGGCGGTCAACTAGGTTTTCTTTTTAATACCTTGAGTCCTTGAGTTTGCGTAGGAGTCTCTTGTCCCTGTGTAGGAGTCTCTAGTCCTTGCGTAGGAGTCTCTTGCAGCAATGGAGTGTCTACACCACCTTGCTGTAGTTCCATGCCACTTGAACTTGTTGGGGTATTCTCAGCAGTTTCACTGTTATTTGCCATTTGTGGGCTGCAAAATCATAAGCATAAACAGATTTCAGAGCAGAGTAAAAATTAAAAACAGAAAAAGGAGAGAAAAAATTAGACATATACTCACTTTAATTCAGAATTGAGATGCGGAAGCGAGAGAAATCCAAGTTGAGCTGTAGCGGAACAACAAAACAGGTTAATGACGGTTGTCCTCACCAGCGGCGTAAGTGCGTAACTAGGTTAAGGGGTGCAACATTTGCAGAGCGGTTCCAATATAACCACTCTCCGAACCGCTCTCCAAAGGTCACTTCTGAGAGCGGTTTGGATTGAACCGCTCTCTAAATATCACTTCTGAGAGCGGTTATATTGGAACCGCTCTCCAAAGGTCACTTCTGAGAGCGGTTCTGATTGAACCGTTCTCCAAAGGTCACTTCTAAGAGCGGTTGAAATTGAACCGCTCTCCAAAGGTCACTTCTAAGAGCGGTTGAAATTGAACCGCTCTCCAAATGTCACTTCTGAGAGCGGTTGAAATTGAACCGCTCTCCAAACCGCTCTTCAAAGTGAATTTGCTCGGGTTCATCGGGTATAAACACGGGTAATCGGGTTGATATAGTAATACCCGTTATCCAAACCAAACCACGTCGGGTTTGATCGGTTTGGTTCGGATCGGACCCGTTAAGCATTGGTTTGGATTTTTTTTAGTTTGGATCGGTTTGGATTATCGGGTTTATTGGTTTACCCGATCCAATGGACACCCCTATCCATTACACATTGCTTATTGCTACATTTACTTTTAAGCGCGTGGATGTGACACTTTCCCTTTGCCCCAGAAAAGGCATTACCTCGCATTGCTAGTTGGAACCTGACCTTTGTTTCCCAAATCCATAATTTAATGCATAATCTTATATGTTAACCGTTAACAAGTGTTTTATTTCATGCATAATCTTATATGCTACGTATTAATATGTGTTTAAATGTATTAATTTAAAGGAAAATATTTTTTAATTGTATAAAATTATATAATAAAAATTAAGAAATAATATTTTGTTATTAAAAATTGTGACATTTAATAATATTAATACATTGTATTAAATTATGGAATAAGATACATTTACACTAAAGTCTTATACCAAATCTTAATCGTATAAATCAAATAATGTTAGAAAAATTATTTTTTATATATTTTTTAAATAATTTTTTAGTTATTAAATTATTTTATTTATACAGTTGAAATAATGAATCTTATCTCTTAAATTATTATATATATTAGAAAAATAAAAAAATGGAAAACAAAAAATATTATTAATATATGTTTTAATAATATTTGGTAAAAATATTTTATTTATTATGTTAAAATATGAGTTGATAATGACAAGACTTATCAAAGATAAAGTTAAACATAAATTCTTTTTTTTTAAGTTAACTTAACTGATTAAATTATAAATATATAAAACTAATTACTTATAATACATTGCTCTCTTTCTCTTTCTTTTTTTATTTTTTTATCCACTCTACCTTTCTTTTGTCAGACCTATTATTAATTTTTTATTAAATTAAAAAAATAACACAAATATGTCAAAGTTTACCTAAATTTAAATATGGTTATTTATTTGTACGAAAGGTAAACAAGGACCATTTATCTTGATAATAATTTTAGCAAAAAGAAACTATTAGAATCTTTTATGTTAAAATTGGCAATTTTATAGAAATAATTTAAAAAGAGAGAAAGAATTTAAATTAAGAGAAAGGTTAAAAAAAGAGTAAATGGAATAAACAATTAAGGTTAAAAAAAATTGTCCTCTTCCTACCTTAAATCCTTAGTAAATTAGAGTTATTAATTTAATTTACAAATTTTATGATATTAAATTGTTAAATATTTTTTAAAAGATCGATGGACTTTGGCTTTATAATTGTAAGAATATGATTCCGTCTTTATTTCATTTTATAATTGATCAATATATATACAAAATATTCAAGAAATTAGTTTACAAGAAGTCATATCAGCACAGTCAATTATTTTCTAGGCATATTTGCGTTGTGATAGAAATAAGTTTCTTTTTTGTGAGTCATACTTATGCCCAAAAAATAATTCAAAAAGCCCAAGTCTTTCATAGCAAACTCAGAGCTAAGACTAGCCATTAAAGATTGGCATAAATCATCAGAAGAAGTAATCAATATAATATCATCAATATATAATAATAGGTAGGCTATATGAGACCTATTCTGATAAATGAACAGAGAATTATCTGACTTGTTAGTAAAACCAAAGACAAAAACAAAATAAATAAATCTCTTGTACCACGCACGAGGAGCAGCTTTTTTGGTGAAATGGGGTGAAGGGAGAAACAAATTCTCCATATAAGGTGATTACCAAACAAATTCTAGGGTAGAGAATGTTACGTGGTATAAGTGTTATAAGATGCAGTGCCAACACAAATAAATTTTTATTTTTTTTAATTTAAGTATTGTCAAACTACCTACCAACACTAAAGAAAGCTAGACACGTGTCACGCAAACAACGGGAAGAAATTTAAAAACAATCATCAATGGTTGCGATTGTAACACATAAATGTTCCTTATAATGTCAGATAGCTTAGATCCGACTTTTTGTTTTGGCACTGTTTTAGCCGACATGTGTGTCGGCATGAGTAGGACCAATACACTTTTAATTGGTCCATGTGGAAGAGTTTCTGAAATGTTTCCTGCTTGCCTCTCTCTACCTGCTTTTTCTTCTTCGCTTCGTCTTATTCCTTGTTCAAAAAGTGTTGGAGAAATCAGGACAGTGAAAAAATATATCATTTTACATAAGTTATTTCGCTGTTTTGAGAATTTGTAACGCAGGAAGAAGCTATTTTGTATTAAGTGTAAATATTAATATATTTTTAAATAAATAAAATTATTTTTCATTTCAGGAATAATTATTGAAAAATTAAAGAGTAAAAGAATAATAATTTAAGTGCAAAAAACATAAATCTATAAAATATTATAGTTTAGTTATAATATATGTATTTATTTAAATTTAGAAGTATAAAATTGTAATTATATTATGTTATATAAGTAGTTAATATTTGATGAAATTAAAATGAAAATTATAATAAAGGTGTAATATATTCATCACAAAATTAGTAATAAATATATTTGAATATGTTAATTTAAAATAAAAAATACTGAAAATAAAATAAAATAAAATAAATAATTAGTAATTTAGAGATTTGAATCTTTTAAAAAGATTGATATTATTTATATGAGTTAGATTAATAATAATAAATTTATGTGTTAAAAGTATTAATTGAAGTGCAATAAAATATAATAGTTAATTACATTAGTAAAAATTTAAATAAATAAATTTTGTATAATAATATTTTTAATATATAATTATTTTTAAGCTATTATAAGCCTCCATTATTTACATATATGCTGTAAAAATACTAATTATAGGTAAATTTAGTAAAAGAGTTATTTTTGTTAATACAATAATTCATAAACACTGTTTAAGGTAGAATTTGTTTAATAATAAAATAAAATTATTTTTGTTAATTTTATGTTGCTTACATTTAAAATATAAAGTTTATGGTTTATTTGTTTGAATAGATTTCAGATGGCATCATCTTCGTCTCCTAGTAAGGTGTTAAATTCTGACCTTGAGGATGATTTATTATTAAGTTATCAGTCTATTCATGTTTCAGAACATATTTAGGATGAGCATAAACACCCAATTTTGAGAGTGAAGAGAGGTCATTTCATACATGTTAGCATGGAAGGAGTTCCAGTAGAGATTTTTCCTCATTTGACATTAGCAAGATTTGCCGAAGTTGCACAGTTGGCTAGTATTCCTAGTAACCACCAATTGATTATAGTTTTGGTGGAAAGATGGAGGCTAGAGATTTATACGTTTCATATGTCTCCTAGAGAGTGTACTATCACTCTTGAAGACATCATTATTCAGATAGGTCTTCGAATTGATGGAAGGCCAGTTATTGCCCCTACAGGAGGTGACAGGGCACAGATCGTTAAGGATTTGCTAAGAATTAGACCACCTAGTTTCGCATTTATGGGAAACATCTTGAAACTTACCTGGTTGGACGAACATTTTTTTCACATTGGCTTGCACAACCAAAATGCATTTAAGCTAACTCGGTTTGCTAGAGCTTATATTTTGAGACTGATAGGTGGATTTATGTTGACTAATCATTCTAGTTGTAGGGTCTCAGTTAAGTACCTTTCATTACTTGAGGATTTGGAGATCACTGGACAACATAGTTGGGGAGCTGCAGCTTTAGCATTTCTATACTGAGAGTTATGCATGTCTACAAATATTGATCACTCTGGTATTGGAGGATTGACTCCACTAGTGATGATGTGGGCATGAGATATGTTTCCATTTCTAGCTTTTAGTAATTCCCCTACACACGAAATGATCTTTCTTATGGTGCATGGTATGCTTACAATGTTTTTTTTCATTAAATAATTAATTTAAATATTATGTTACAACTATTCTCACTAATCTTTATGTTTGTATAAGTGGTTAGCTAATCAAAATTATAGGAAGGGGAGAAAGGATCTTGCATACTTTAGATACAAATTTGATCATTTGAAACATAATGAGGTATTTTGTTATACCTTAATAATTTGTTATAATTAATTTATATTTATGAATAACTAAATTAATATATTTTTGACTTGCAAATTGTGTGATAATTGTATAGTATGGATTTAATGCATACTTTGCCCACCATATGCACTGAGGGCATGAATATTTAGAGAGCAATTATGTCACTTATTTGTTTTCAGATATATGAATAGCACCAACCCGACCGTGTCATACGCCAATTTGGGATGATATAACATATTTCTTATGCTCATTATCAGCTAGACCAACTACATGACATTATTCTTAGAGGAAAAACTGGTGACAATTGGGAGTCCAAGTTTAGGGACATAATGGAGCATTGGGACAGAACATTAGATTGGGTAGTGAGTAATGAACCACAGATTGGTCTATTGAGTTCAAGCTCCAAATACATATGGTGGTACATTACTCATATTAGACGATGGATGAGCAGGGATGGTGCAGTGTTTGCATTACTTGTAAGTAATTTTGACTATTTCATGTTATTTACTTTGTTTAAAAGATTGTAATAGGATATGTAATGGTAATGCAAGGAAATACTCATAAGAGGGCATATTACTTATATAGTGATGGTAAGAACATATTTTTATTTGCGGAGATGAAGGAATTGTGTAAGACGATGTTATCCTTACAAAATGAACGCATCTTAGAGCTTTCATCCTCATGTGACCCTCCTAACCAAAGTAAAAATTCAGATGAATCCTTAATTGACATTAGTCAGGGTATACAACGTCAGATGAAGGCAGAGATTTGCAACGTTGACGAACATCAATTCAAGTATATTATATTTATCCTTAATTGAGGAATTTTAAAATAAAATTTTTCTTTTAATTTATTGAATACTCTTCGGTTTTTAAAATTGCAAACCATAGATTTTACCTTACCCCCTTTGCCCGAATGAGGAAATGATGTTTATTATGTCCCTTCCACCTTTTCCATTTCACCTTTTGCAAAGGACATAGTCATCTTATGTTCGCTCATCACAGGACACAAACGTCTCTCCTGCATCTCCATTTACCACCAATGAATATTATGTTTCAGAGACTACCCTTTTTATGACACCTCCTCCATATGATCCATTATTTTTCACACTAAATGCAGCTAGTGTAGGAACTCATCAAAGTGAACATAGTAGGGAGACATCATCATTGCTACTAGCGGACGAGTGTGAAATTGATCTTAATGCTAAATTCATTAGAGCCTCAGATGCAACAGGACCTAATGTGAGACGTAACCCTCATTGCAGAGCTTGAGATCATCGTCAACATTGCATTTTCACACCTCATGAGGAGGGACATCATGACCAGTCCTTGAATTCCAATTGAGAATATGTTATCATATTGTATTAAAAAAAGTTCTTCATTTTGACTACTTCAGTGATTAATTTTTTTTGTTGATTGTTATAACTTTAGACAATGTTATGTAATGGTATATTTGGTTTAAATGCACAAATGATATATATTTTTACTATTTTCCCATGTTTCTTTCATTCCTTAAATAAGTGACATAACATCAATGCAAATTAATAAGACAGCATACATTTAATTAATTTATGACACAATTACAATGATAAATGATATATAAAGACTATTTTATTCTCCATTTGCTATCTACCAATGAAGAACAATATTACTCATTAGTATTATTAGCATTGGATTGTTGAGGACCCAGTTGTCGGCATAACCTACATCATTGTCACGGTTGTGACTCAACCTAATCTATTTTATTTCTAATTCTAGAAGTCTTTAGTCTTCTTTTTCTTCGTGCTCTATCTTAATCTGGCAACAACTTTTATTCATAATTTTGTAAGATCTTATTTTCATATCCAAGCGGCCACCACTAAGATCAGTATATGTTTACAACATACTATAGAGTATAAATATGATCAACATATTGCCAAAAGTCTATACTCAGAGTAGTACAAGCAGCTATGACATGTGAACATGAATATTAGTATGCTTAAAATTTGCCACATTCACATAATCGTGTAGATGATATTATACTCCACTTATGACCACCTCTTTGTGTCACATGATTAAAAACCTCTTCAACTTCAAACCTTGTTATTTGTATGTCATAACGACGAACCTAATGTGAATATGCTTCTTGTTGATTTTTTCTATAACTTCAAATAACTTTAGACAATATCTTAATCCATGTCATTTATTGTGCTCTAACAATGCTTCACAAAATACTCCACCAATCTAACATACATTGCTTTGACTAGAGCAGTAATTGGGAGATTTCTTACCCCTTTTAAAATCTTATTGATTGACTTTGACAAATTAGTAGTTATGTGCCCATAACGATGCCCTTCATCATCACAAGCCAATTTCCATTTTTCCTTTGTTATATTGTTAATCCAAGTTTGAATTTTGGGAGAATAAGAACGAAATATATTAAGCTTCACTTCAAATCTTTATTTATAGGGTGTATATGCTATATTTAAAGAGTTGATAGGGTTAATGGTGAAAAACATATATATTGATTAATTAATCCAAATACACAAATGTTAGAAAAAAACTTACCTAATTTGATGACATTACTTTTCAAGGTGGTATTTTTGAATCTTCTATTGAAATTGCTTGCAATATGACGAATGTAATAAACATGATATGTATTGGGAGGTTACTACCTAATATGTGGGTTGGACATAACACCTTTAATACTTTGATAGTGATAAGATATCAAACAAATCCTAGTCTTCTTAGTAACATTCAAACAAATCATCATTAAGAAACATTCCTATACTGATAATATTTCTCCTTCAATAATGTCAAACACTATAAGAAACACACTATTATTGCCATCTTGAATTGTAACAATTAGCAATGTTTGTTTGTACTTACTATATGAAAATGTATCGTCTACTTGTATTATACGCTTAAAGAACTTGAATACTTCATAGCATTGCCTAAATAACGAAAACAATCGATGAAAGACCCTGAACTATTATCCACTACATTACTTCCAACATAATCATTGGTCTCAATTTTGTAAACTAACTCAGGAGCATGTAATTACATATATTTTAACCATCTTGGTAATGTTGCATATGATTAATTCCAATCACTAAATATTGTCATGGTTGTTTTTTGTTTTACTTTCTATGCTTTTTTGTATGAAATTGAATATCCAAACTGCCCACTTATTCTCTCTTGGATTAATGAAACTAGTACTGATAGTTCTTGTTTGACCACACTTGTCAATAAAAATAAACAATATGTCTCAACTAATGATTATTTAAAAAAAACAAAAACAAAATTACATCAATTGAAATTCACGTAACAGGAATGCATGAACAAATAAAATTTGAATCCAACCTTTTGTGGTCTTAAGAAATCATTGTATTTATGCATGTATGCATACCATGCCATTTCATAATTTTTCACTTATTTGTATTTTTGAACAACAATGCTCTTACTTTCCAAGGACATCTAATATTATGATTCACATACTTCACAACTTGAGTTGTCGCTTTTGACTCAATCACAAAAAATGTTTGATATTTCCTCATTGCATGTTTTATGGCCATTTTTATCTCCTCTTTAGAGTTAAAGAGTTGTTCAACATATAATACATCTCTTTGTATCCATAATTGTGACGAATGTAATTCAGAAAAATTCAATTCTTGATCAAGATGTTTTCAATTAATAGCAGTGTAGTGTGAACTTATATTCCAAAAAAGTGTTACAAAATCTGTACTAAACTCTCACAATGATAGTTTAAAAAAAAATTATAATTAATTTATTTTATAAAATTATACCTATTGATTGTTGTTGCACATTGCTATTTCTTTTAATGTTTAAAATATTGATCATTGAATCAAAACCATCATTTAAATTAATATCAGAAGAACTGTCTAAAGGAATTTATCCTTCATCTTCATAGTCATCATCGTAGTCATCTTTTTCATCTGCAGATGCAGCAACACGTGTTTATTAATAAATTACTAAATTGAAACATTATATTATTTAGATAAATATTATATATTATCTCTTTCATTTGCATACTCTTTTTCATTGTCACTAACATTAACATGTGAGAGTGATAAATTTAGACCTAACGATTGTACAACAATATGAGAAGTTTCACCAACTGCAATATTCACATATAACTCATTTACATTTCTTTGATGTTGTTGTTGACATGCATTTATCATGCAGTCAATGTCTTCATTATCACATATATCTAAAATTGTGTGGTTTTCACTTCTTACATCAACTAAAATTTATGAAATTAGTCTAGAAATTATATTACTACTGCACAATCTCAATTTTGTATGTATTTTTCTTTGCACCATCTCAAAAGTAATTTCACGTTCTATCTTAACCATCTTTTTGTTCCCTTCAAATATTATACCCTCATTTCCTTCATACACACTTTCAATCCAATATAAAATAACCATAATTTCGGTCATTCAGCATATCAAATTAAAAAATACAAAAATCTTACAAAAATTAACTACTTAAACAAATACTAATAGAAAATATTACAAGAACATTAAATAAAAGAGATTTATATTTACATTTTCAATATTATACTTACATTAAATAAATTATCAAGCACCACAAATATTCTTAATTTCATAAATTCAAAATAATATTAATATTATTATTTAAATCTTAATTGCAACTCTTACACCCAATCTGAGACTTTCATTT